TTTTCAGCTGGAGCGGATGTGAGTTGCGAGGATGCCCAGAGGATGCAGAGAGGATACAGTGGACGTTTAACGGATGATAACGGACATGGAACGTTTGGTGCTCGTATATGTCGCGCATTTACATCGTACACGGCAGAAGGTTCATCCGTTATAAAAGTTTAGTGCAGCTCAAAACTTTTTGCGCGGATGAAATCAAAGTGAACGGATGCTCGATGGATAGAGCGTATGAAACACGTATGCAATGAGTACACAACGCATGCATGGCGTTTTCAAACGGAGGGCACGTTTTTTTCCCCGTTTTACATCCGTTTTGCATCCGTAAGTGCAGTGGGACCGGGCCTTTACATACTGATCCGGAGCTTACACTGGATGGAAGCCCCATTCTAGTTGTAGATGAAACGAAATTATTGGGTTTGATATTTGATAAGAAATTGTCATTTATACCCCATATAAAAAGCCTCAAGAAGAAATGTCTGAAAATTGTATCAAACGCTGCCTGGGGAGCAGACCGTAAGGTCTTGCTATAACATAATGACATATGTCATAGAGGCGTCCTGCCATATTAAAATACGTGTTAGTGATTGTAACATAAACCTGTCGCTATCAATACCCGGCTGGAGATCTTGGTAGTATTCCTTATGTCATTGCGTAACTATAACTTGTTGTTGGCATGTCTTATCTAACTTTCTTTGTCTGATAAACTATATTGAATGTTAAACCTTCATATGATGCTTGATACATTAGACAGGTGTCTAATGAGCTCCTTTGTCTCGAATACGTTTATAAACTCAGAACAGAAACGAATCTTCAGTCAGGTCCAGGAGGCCGTGCTAGGCGGGCGCCTAGATGAAGGTACCTAATGGATACTATTGAGGTCCAGGCAGGGCTAGGAGTTAGGTCCGGCCAGGACTGAGCGAAGGCCATGGGCGCCTTAGCACGAGACGGTACGAGACGACAGCTTCTGGAGTTAGCACACTCATGCTAAGCTAAGCTAAGACATTCGACTCCCTCCATTTTAGTTAGTTCTACGGTCGTTTACATTATGATGTTTGTACCTAATATGTAAGAAGAATAAAAATATTATATTCGAAGTCACACCAGTGTTGCCTCCAGAACTTGATTTAAAGAAATAGTGTCACATATTAATTGGCGCCGTAGACCAGAGCAACGTGCAAAGTCGTATACCACTAGAAGATCACAGGCCACAGATATTAGTCTACACGGGTAAGTCTTTTTCTAATCCTACCATGGCCGGTTAATAATGACATTGTGCTATAATGTATTATAATTTAACTGGGAAATCAGCAGTTTATCATCACGCTTTATTAAATATCATGGTGTAGTTACTAGATTTAATATATTGCCGTTCAAGCTAGTAGTGGAACAGTCCTTAACTATTTGTAGGAAAATGACTAAAACAAAATTGTATATATATTATTTGTTTTAAAATGCGTCATGTTGTTTTTAAAAGATTATGAATTATCATTGGTTGTTTTGAACACATATTTTGGCTTTTAAATTTAGTAGTAGCTAAGTATTATCAGGCTAATAACTGCGAAGTGAAATGTTTTATGATTGTTTAATTATCTGGAATAGAGTTAAGCGTATCCTAATTGAGAGATATAGCTCTTTAAACATTCACACGGTATTAACGGTTTTATCCCTTATAATTTTTTTGTTGTTATTTTGTCTATATATATTTATGCCCCGAGGTTTACGGGAGACCCGATATTTACGGTAGAGAGTTTTATTTGTAATACCCCAAAGTTTTAATGGGAAATGCCCCGATATGTAACGGGAGAAGTTTATGTTAAGTGGTTTAACCCCAGGAGGGTTGTGCTCGGATTTAAGAGCGAACGTATTGTCTTGTTTTGTGTTGTGTTTAAAAATTATAGAGATAAACCGTTAGTTCTTTCAAAAAATATCTTATTTAAGATTGGTTAAATGTGTTCAGATCATTCATTATTCTTGAGATAAAACAATATGACTCCCTAATTTCAATTGTATCCATGTAAATAATACTGTAAATATCGTTAGATCGATATCTAAAGTCAAATCTGTTCCACTTGCTAATTTGATTAACTATTAATTAAGTTCACTCCATGATATATATGATAAGCAGATGATAAAACTTCGGCACGGGTGGCAGTTAATACTCTTCATATGCACATGTCATAACACGCCGTTTTGCCAGACGGTCAATAAGAAGAGCTGAACTAAACGGAGCAGGGAATATTCTGACCCCTCAACATTACTGGAACGAGGAAGGGCATCATATGTACCCCACCCCTACAGTTGGCTACGACAGTGCAGTAGCGGTCTAAGAAGATAATTACAGTAGTTTGTGTTCGCGATTCCACCAAATAATCGGTCTAAGAAGATAATTACAGTAGTTTGTGTTCGCGATTCCACCATTTATGTGAATAATAAGAGTAGTCTGTGTTTGTGATTCCAGGATCTCGTTTGTTTTTTTTTTTCATTGACTCGCGTGTGTGACCGATTGTGTGTATATAACTTTTAAGTTCGTGTGTTTTTCATTGACCTTTTCATTTTGTTTAAAGACATTTTTGGATATTATGACATTTTACATGTATATATAACTTTTAAATTCGTGTGTGTTTCATTTACCTTTTCTTTTTGTTTATAGACATTTTTGTATACGACATTTTACGAGTGTTGTTTGTTTTTATATATTTTTTCATTATTATTATTGTTGTTTATATCTTTATAAGAGTAGTAATTATCGACTCCATAGGTATCTAATTTTGTAATAGTCTTTAAAAGTTATTTCATATAATTCATAACTTTATTTAAACAAAGAGAGGTATATAACATAATGACATATGTCATAGAGGCGTCCTGCCATATTAAAATACGTGTTAGTGATTGTAACATAAACCTGTCGCTATCAATACCCGGCTGGAGATCTTGGTAGTATTCCTTATGTCATTGCGTAACTATAACTTGTTGTTGGCATGTCTTATCTAACTTTCTTTGTCTGATAAACTATATTGAATGTTAAACCTTCATATGATGCTTGATACATTAGACAGGTGTCTAATGAGCTCCTTTGTCTCGAATACGTTTATAAACTCAGAACAGAAACGAATCTTCAGTCAGGTCCAGGAGGCCGTGCTAGGCGGGCGCCTAGATGAAGGTACCTAATGGATACTATTGAGGTCCAGGCAGGGCTAGGAGTTAGGTCCGGCCAGGACTGAGCGAAGGCCATGGGCGCCTTAGCACGAGACGGTACGAGACGACAGCTTCTGGAGTTAGCACACTCATGCTAAGCTAAGCTAAGACATTCGACTCCCTCCATTTTAGTTAGTTCTACGGTCGTTTACATTATGATGTTTGTACCTAATATGTAAGAAGAATAAAAATATTATATTCGAAGTCACACCAGTGTTGCCTCCAGAACTTGATTTAAAGAAATAGTGTCACATTGCTCAGATTATATCTAAGAACTAAAAGCGAATATGGATGTATTGTGTATGGGTCAGCCTGCGAGTCTTATCCCAAAGAGCTTGACACCATACATAACCAAGGACTTAGAATCAGTCTAGGAGCACTCCGTACATCCCCAGTGCAGAAGTTTTACATCGAGGCGCACGGGCCTACATTGCATGACAGACGTGATAAACTGGCACTGCAATATGCTACAACAATTGCATCTCTGCCTCATCATATAACAACATATTTAGACCATATCATGAACATCTATAGTTCCTGAAAAGTAACTTTATTGCATCATTCGGTATTCACATTCTCAAACCCCTTTTGCGAATACCCCTTTCTTTAGAACTTCACCCTGGACTATATCGCCTCCAAAGATCGATTTAGATCTAACGAATAACAAAAAGAAAGATACTAGTTCGACGGTGTTTCAGTCTCTCTTTCGAGAGTTAATGTCTAAATATGGTGATTATGCTCCCATCTACGCAGATTGTTCCAAAGATGGTAATCGGGTAGCTTCGGCTACCGTCTCACAATTTGGTATCCTTTCTATCAGACTTCCATCTGCTCCTTCCATATTTACTGCTGAGCTCCAGGCCATTGTTCGGGCTTTGGACCTCATTCAATCATCCTTTAATTTAAAACATTTTGCCGATTCTCTGTCCTCTTTACAAGCAATAAATAACAAACGGCTTGAACACCCATTAGTAACATACATTTATCGTCTGCTACTATCACACGAGTTCATCGGCATGGACACGGTCCTTTGCTGACTTACCAGTCATGTCGATATTAAAGGGAATGATCAGGCAGACTTCGCTGCCAAATCTGCTTTAGATCTTCCCATATCAAAATTTCTTTTACCCTTCACCGATTTTAAATCTTCAGTCAACGTTTTTTTTTTATTTATGACCGCTGGCAATGGTCTTGGGATCTTGCAGACCAAACAAACTTCATCATATTAAGCCTCTCTTTGGAGATTGGCGAAGCTCCTATAGAATTAACAGGAGAGATGAAGTTGTTTTGTGTCGTTCACGCATTGGTCATACCGTTTTAAAGCATATTCTTATCTAGAAGCGAGAGCCTCAACCAGAATGTGATCACTGCCATGTTCCTTTTGAAAGGAGAGCGAAAGAGAGAGAGGGGGGGGGGCGCCCACTCGACACAAATAAGGTCATTTTTCGAGACAAATTTTGCGATTTTGTACCTGTTATACTGTTAAAATTGTGTTTACGTTATGTCAATTAAAGGGTGGGGGGGGGAGATTAATGGGGGACCTAGCCAAGGTAGTGCAACTCCTAGCTAGGGATTATTTGGGCTATGAGAGAAATATGTCCCAGTTAGTTTTCCAACAACTCTTCATAATCTCCCAACTGTCAAGGATTCCGTTACATACAACGACGTGTACACAGGACCTTGTATTTGCGTTCCATCCGAACGATTAGACATAAAAGGGCCTAATACTGGAACATTGCGGCCAACAATGTCCAGTTGTTTTTGTTAGGTCAATTAAGGGTAGATAAAAAAAAAAAAAATTTTCAGTCCCCAGTTTAAACTATTTTTTATATAAAATTTCTGTAAGCAATTATAAAAGTTACAATAATAAAGTATAAAATATATAACAAATGTATACAAAATATTGGAATGATTCAGATTTAAGCTAAGTATTGATAAACACAGGTCATGTTGATACCAGGGCATATTTTAAGGTTTAATTGGGGTTCCGTGAAAATTTCCAGTATTTGACTTCCGATAACACAGTATCCCGCTTACACTTTTATAACAAAAATATAACAGAATTAACATATTTATATTTATAACCGCGTGTTCGTATTATCATGGACTTTATAATACACCTATCATACGGTCCATGGTATTATTAGCAGTCCAAAGAAATATCATGGACCTTATAATATAAGGTCAATGGAAATATCCAAAGTCCAAAGGCAAACGAACTTTCACGGTCACCTGGGGCCTGTTTCACGAAAATTTAAATAAGGTAAAATCCAAATTTTAGCAATTTAATTGGATAATATTAGGTTAATTTTAGTGCTTAGCCAATCAAAATTGAAGTATCTACTAAAATTTAGTTAAGATTTCGAGAAACAGGGCCCAGAACCTGACGGTGTTCTGCCATGTAATTTTCTTGCTTTACGTGATTGTGGGAATACGTCAACAATAAACAATACGAAACTTTTGAAACAGAAATCGAAGTGGTCGATGATCATAATGATAGTTCATTTTCCCCACACGATCTTCACATATTCACAAAGCTACAAAACATTTTTTTCAGAGCACGGCTTTAAAATTTTCAAAGCACGGATTTATTATCCAGAGGCATGTTCGTGTCTGTAAGGCAAGTTAATTTCATAAAATATCTATGCATAGAGATGCCCTTTCCTCGGCAACTACAGAAGCTATCTATTTCATTTAAATTATAAAATTTATAAAAAAAATTGAGTGAAACATGATTATATCAATATATTAAAACCCTTAGGGTCCTTTAATAATAACCACTGGGCAAAATAGTAAATATTCTAATATAACCCCTAGGGTCATTTAATAATAACCACTGGGCATTATAGTAAATATTCTAATATAACCCTTAGGGTCATTTAATAATAACCACTGGGCATTATAGTAAATATTCTAATATAAATGAAATGAAATGAAATGAAATGAAATGAAATGGGGTTTAACGTCCTACTGTTCTGCTCCTAACCTGGGATAATGAAGACGGGCATACGCCATACAGTGTGCTATGCGGGAAATTTTGCCCGGACAGCGGCATTACAGCCTACTCTTATATCGAATTCCAACTGCCAAGGGATCTTTTACGTGCACGCCAATGTGTACACGGGGCCTCGGTTTTTCGTCCCATCCGAACGACTAGACCGCTTTCCTTGTCAGCCCCTCCGTCCTGCATCACTGACAAGGGAGAACCACGCCGGAAAATTTGGATGAACTTTCTCGGCCAATGCAGGGATCGAACAACCGACCTCCAGGCTAGCGAGCTAGCGTCTTACCCACTTAGCCACATGATCCCCATTCTAATATAACCCTTCTTAGGGTCATTTATAGTAAATATTCTAATATAAAAAATATATATTTAAACATGTTTATATACACATCTCTACATAATATAACAGAGAAAGTTTGTTTGTGTGTAGGTTCAGGTAGGAGAGAGAGAGAGAGAGAGAGAGAGAGAGAGCGAGGGAGGGAGAGAGAGAGGGAGAGAGGGAGAGAGAGAGAGAGAGAGGGAGGGAGAAGAGAGGGAGAGAGAGAGAGAAATGGGGTTTAACCTCCATTCAACACAAACTAGGTCATTTCGGGACTAACATATGGTTCAATTTTATTTCAATAATTTGCTTGGCCAGGGGTCTTTAGCAGTGGGAGAAAATTCATGAGGATCGACAGGTGACCTTATTCCTTGTCACGTACAACCGGGGAATCGAAACCACGCCAGTTGACTCAATGACAGACCTTATGATACTGGGGACACACGCTAACCATTCCGCCATCCACCCCCCTACGGATGTGTGTACGCTGTACATGTAGACTCACGATAGGAACGCAATCAGTTAATGAGCACCATAAATTCCTTTTAAAAAAATCCTGTTTATTTTGAAATTTATATATTCAACAGTTTGTTTTCCTACAGTGAACCCACAAATGAAAGAATATGGGGTTTAATGTCTACTGCTCTGTAGGACGAGGCTAATGAAGACCGGCATACACCATGCAGTGTGCTATGAATGAAATTTTGCCATAACAGTGGTGTTACATCCTACTCTTATTTCCAATTCCAACTGTTAAGGGTTCTTTTACGTGCACACCAGAGAGAGAGAGAGAGAGAGAGAGAGAGAGAGGTCCACTCGACACAAACTAGGTCATTTCGGGACTTACATATGGTTTAATTTTATTTACATAATTCACTTGCGCGTAGGGGTCTTTAGCAGTGGGCGGACCCGGAGAAAACCCACAAAGTTGGACAGGCGACCCTACTCCTTGTCACGTACAACCGGGGATTCGAAACCACGCGAACCCACAAACAAGGGGACTTTCTCTCCAAATATACAAAGCAGAAAAACTGTGCAACAAAAATACTGACAACAAAATATTAACATTGTACAAACTAACTGCTAAATGAACAAGTCCAAGTCAATAAAAAAAACATCAACTAAAAAAAACAAATAACAAAAATAGTAAATTATAATAAAATAGTACAAAAATAACCGGGCAAGCAAGAGTCTGGTTTAACATATTCAATCAAAATTCAATCCAATTAAAATACAAATCTATATTTCGTTTCATTTTTTTTTATACTTTCGATGGCCTACACTACATGAAGATCTGACCATCAGATGTCATACGAGCGGCTTTTGACCATATGACATCACACATTGATTAATAAATCAGTGTTGACCTATCTAGTGGTTTACCCAAAGTTCTGTGCACCTCACGCCAAAAAATTGCTGTTACAGACGGTTTCATTGGCTAAACCCTCACATCATACAGAACGTGGGTTATGTACATGTAACAACTCTTCCAGATCCTAGTGTAGTAAAAACAAGTAAATCGAAACAAAATAGGATCTGTGTTTTAATCAGATTGATCCAAATTAAAGCTGGATTGCTTTGCTAAATTTAACAGAACAATCTAAGTCTCATTTTTGTCTTATACAATTTGCTACCAGATGGCGCCATTAACTGGGGTTCATTGAAAAAGTGACTTAGATCGTTCTTCCCCAGGACTCTTCATATATCTTGAATGTTTCGTTGAAATAAACTATGGTTATCAATAAACATTGTCATTATTAGATCCCAAATATTCCAGCCATCTTTGTTTCTCTTTAGGTAAAAAATGGACGTCTGAAGATTTTTGATGTTTGGGTTTTATCTTCATATATATTTTTGAGTTAATTCTAATTCCTGTCTCAAGAACTCGTCTCAAATCAACTCGTTGCAATTTTGTGAAAAGTTTCTGCTTCCTCAATTCGTAGGAATCATCAACCATGTGAGCATTATAAAGTATCTGTGCTACTAACTGAAGATTGCCATAACCATCTAAATTACCAACAGCCCCTGGAATAAAACGAAAAGATAGGTTGCCAGGCAACGAAACATACGCCCACAGCAGCTAAATCGTCCGGGCAGTCAACAAGAGATATCACATATTTTTACTTTTTTCGGTAATGAAGCATTTATAATACACTAAAATCTGATTAAGAGTAATAACTCATTAAGGAATTATCAAAATCTGTCTGGTTTTTATAAAATTCTGCCCCATGCTAACGTTTAGTATACGAAACATTTAATATCATGGATTTAGCTGTTCAAGTTATCAAAATTCATTGAAAATCAATATATTTGTTTGTCTCAAGATCTTAAACTCTGTGTATCAATCTGAAGTCAATCGGATGATAACATTAGCCTCTAGGTTGTCACATGATTTTTCAAAGTGATCAAGGGGCCTAACTTTGGCAGTAATTATTGGAAATCGTTGAAATTCATTGGGATTATTCGTCTCATGACCTAAAACACTGTGTATAAATTTCAAGTCAGATATTAACTTTAGCCTTTAGAGCATCCACAAGAATTTTAGAAGTGATCAAGGGCCATAACTCTGGCAGTAATTATCGGAAATCGCTGAAAATCAATAGGCTTCTTCGTCTCATGACCTTAACCACAGTGTATAAATTTAAAGTCAATCAGTTATTGACTTTAGCCTCTAGAGCATCCACAAGATTTTTTGAAGTGATCAAGAGTCATAACTCTGGCAGTAATTATCGGAAATATACGACCACATTTCAATGTGGGCGTATAAAAATGAAATGGGATTTAAAGTCCTACTGTTCTGCTCCGACTGGGCTAATGAACACAGGCATATGTCATACAGTGTGCAATGAGCGAAATTTTGCCCTGACTACAACGCTACTGCATACTCTTGTATCAAATTTCAACTGCCAAGGGATCTTTTACAGCCACTCCAATGTATACACAGGATCGCGGTTTTTCGTCCCATCCGAATGAGTAGACAGTTGTCTTTGTCAGGCCCTCCGTCCTGCACCACTGCCATGGGAAAACCACACCAGAAAATCCTGATGAATTTTCTCGACCAATGCAGGGATCATGGTGACGGAATAAAACAAGTGTTGGTCACAAACACAACAGTTAAAGGGAAACTATAGCCTTGACCTCACCACAGTGCTGTCAGAATAGCTTATCTCAGTGATATATAAGAAGTCCTTGTGCGTTATGTCAGGGTTCAGACAGCAGGACTACAGCCTATTCTTATTTCAAACTCCAACTGTCAAGAGTTATTTTACGCGTGTGACATCGTGTACACAGATCCATGGTTTACCGTACAATCCGAAGAACTAGACAGTATACTGTCAGGAATGGATAGTACACAATTAGTTCTGTGTTCACCTACCTGTCAGTCTACCTTCAGGGATGGGTAATACACAGTTAATTCTGTGTTCACCTACCTGTCAGCCTACCATCAGGAGTGGATAATACACAATTAGTCCGCCTACCTGTCAGTCTACCATCAGGGATGGATAATACACAATTAGTCCACCTACCTGTCAGTCTACCATCAGGGATGGCTAATACACATTGAGTTCTGTGTTCACCTACCTGTCAGTCTACCATCAGGGATGGGTAATACACGCTGAGTTCACCTACCTGTCAGTCTACCATCAGAGATGGCTAATCCACATTGAGTTCTGTGTTCACCTACCTGTCAGTCTACCATCAGGGATGGATAATACACATTGAGTTCACCTACCTGTGAGTCTACCATCAGGGATAGCTAATACACATTGAGTTCTGTGTTCACCTACCTGTCAGTCTACCATCAGGGATGGATAATACACATTGAGTTCACTTATCTGTGAGTCTACCATCAGGGATAGCTAATACACATTGAGTTCTGTGTTCACCTACCTGTCAGTCTACCATCAGGGATGGATAATACACATTGAGTTCACCTACCTGTGAGTCTACCATCAGGGATAGCTAATACACATTGAGTTCTGTGTTCACCTACCTGTCAGTCTACCATCAGGGATCGATAATACACATTGAGTTCACTTACCTGTGAGTCTACCATCAGGGATAGCTAATACACATTGAGTTCTGCGTTCACCTACCTGTCAATCTACCATCAGGGATGGCTAATACACATTGAGTTCACCTACCTGTGAGTCTACCATCAGGGATAGCTAATACACATTGAGTTCTGTGTTCACCTACCTGTCAGTCTACCATCAGGGATGGATAATACACATTGAGTTCACCTACCTGTCAGTCTACCATCAGAGATGGCTAATCCACATTGAGTTCTGTGTTCACCTACCTGTCAGTCTACCATCAGGGATGGATAATACACATTGAGTTCACTTACCTGTGAGTCTACCATCAGGGATAGCTAATACACATTGAGTTCTGTGTTCACCTACCTGTCAGTCTACCATCAGGGATGGATAATACACATTGAGTTCACTTACCTGTGAGTCTACCATCAGGGATAGCTAATACACATTGAGTTCTGTGTTCACCTACCTGTAAGTCTACCATCAGGGATGGCTAAGATACATTGAGTTCTGTGTTCACCTACCTGTCAGTCTACCATCAGGGATGGCTAAGATACATTGAGTTCTGTGTTCACCTAGTGTACCACATTGTTTATTCTCTACATCTGTAATCAAAGAAATATAAAACAGTTCTCTTTTCTCTACCATACTATCTAATAGACACAAGTAGAGGCATTACGATGGGCTATGGAGGAGGAGGACAGTGTGTGGGGTGGGGTGATGGGGGGGTGCTATGGAGGTTGGGTAGGAGGGTATGGTGGGGAGGAGGGTGTGTGGAATCAAATATCCATCGGAATCAAATATCCATCAGAATCAAATATCCAGTGAAATCAAATATCCAGTGAAATCAAATATCCAGTGAAATCAAATATCCAGTGGAATCAAATATCCAGTGAAATCAAATATCCAGTGGAATCAAATCTCCACCAGAATCAAATATCCAGTGGAATCAAATCTATTTACTATGATAACAAGGTTACTATTCAGAAGAGCCAGGATTTTGCAAAGATTGTGTTTTTCCAATCAAGGTATTTTTTGCACAACTCCTCCCGCTCCCAAAAAACTTAGGTCAACTGATTGACTATCATTGTGAATGATAATATACTACGTACTCATCATCCAATTCCAACTACTAAGGGTTTTTCATCACATCCGAACACCAAGACACAGTTTCTTCCCAATACCCGATTTTCCGCATGATTCCCCCTTGTCAGTGATGCAGGACGGAGGGCCTGACAAGGACAGCTGTCCAGTCATTCGGATGAGATGAAAAACAGAGTTACCGTGTACAAATTGGCATGCACGTAAAAGATCCCTTGGCAGTTGGAATTCAATATAAGTGAAGGCGGTAGTGCCGCTGTCCGGGCAAAATTTCCCTCATAGCACACTGTATGGCGTATGCCCGTCTTCATTAGCCCAGGTTAGGAGCAAAACAGTAGGACGTTAAACCCCATTTCATTTCATTTCATTTCCCAATACCCAGTTAACAGTGACATCAAATATCAGATGACATGAAATACTAAACTTAGGCTTTCTGTCTACAGTTAGTTCCACTTGTGAACAGACATTAAGCTAGATGACTGACATTTTAAGTCGTAAATCAAAGGTTTTCGTCGAAAACACTAAGCATACTTTGAGAATTTTGTCAAGTTGTTATATGCTGCTTCCATTTAATAAAATTCCTCACATCAACCAGAATGCGGGTTATATAACAACATTGCCAGATTCTAGTGTTGTGAAGACAAGTAAAAGGAAATTATGAACTATAAAAAACGAAATAATATGAAATGAGGTTTAACGTTCTACTCCGACTGGGCTAATGAAGACAGGCATACACCCTACGCCAATGTATACACTGGACCCCAGTTTTCGTCGCATCCAAACGACTAGACAGCTATCCTTGTCAGGCCCTCCATACTGCCCCACTGTCAAGGGGAAACCACGTCGGAAAAACTTTCTCGGCCAATGCAGGGATCGAACACGCTACTTCAAGGCTAGGAGCCAGTGTCTTATCCACTTAGCCACAGAGTCTCCAAAACAAAACGAAATAGGACCTGTATTTTATTCCGACTGTCTGAGTGATAATAACCTACCATATTTATATTCTGTAGCCTTGGCGTCCAGTACTTTAATTGGTTGGTAATTTGTTGCACGACCAACAATAAAGATTTCCTGATCCAGTTTAACAGAATCTTGTCCACAAGTTATATGGTGTTTTTCGTAGTCCTTCTTTCGGTCTAAACCTGATGACAACAATTAAACATACATTATGTAAGAGAGCTAAATCTGCCTACTGGTGGTACCGAGTTCACAAAGCATTCTCAGACTTAAATTAAGAATTTACTCAAAACTGTTTGCCTTATTTTAACTAAAATATAGCCCTTTATAAAACATTTTGTTTTTTAATGTATCAAATACATCAATAAGAAACTATGTGAAAAGTTTTGTGTTTCTGGATCAAAGATATTTTTCATAAACAGTGATTGAAAGTTGAGTAAATTCTTAACTTAAATCTGAGAATGCTTTGTCAACTTCGGGGCCAGGTCTTTCTTTAGGCCTGAAATATTATCCAAATTATTATATAGGCATTAATTATCATTACAAGTCCATAATCAACTCTCGATGCCATTGTTAGCCTGCAATATTTACTGGATTTGAATACATTTTGTGATGGATAATTTTATGTAAAAATGGATAATCGAGAATTTGTTTATTATCGTTCCTTCCAACGTTAGTAATGACGATCGAGGCTGGCCTAAAATTGAATCGCTAATATATCTCGGTTCAGAGTTAAGCAACTGGACTGAAATTTTCAGTATATTCTGTTTTCATTATCTATTTTTTTTAATTATTATAGAGAAAACTGTCAGGTCTTTATCTAATCTTTCCTAATGCCCCTTTAATATCATCGAGCAGCCGTGACTCATTGAATAAGATGCTGGCAAATTGAGACTGGAATGGAATGAATTGAGATTTAACGTCCTACCTTTCTGCACTGACTGGGCTACAGTGTGTGTTATAAGATAAATGTGCCCGGACCGCTGCACTACAGCCTACTCTTATATTTTTATTTTTTTATAAACAATATTTTTATTCAGATTTGTATCTGAACAGGGATTGGGGAACAGGCATAGCCTATATCACACCCCTCTCCCGACTCTTATATTGAATTCCAACTGTCAAGGGATCTTTTACATATACACAAACGAGTAAACAGTCTTTGTCCCTTGCCATCCCCTCCGTCCTGCACCACTGACAAGGGTGAACCACACCAGGAAAATCCTGATGAACTTTCTCGGCCAAACACCAGGATCGAACATGGGACCACATGGGACCACCAGGTTAACAAGCCAATGTGTTACTCACTGAGCCACCCAAAATGCTTGATAAAACATTTTAAAAGATAATCATTAAATCCCCCTGAACTTACATTCTGCTGCAGTTAAATTGTAAATTTCATTGGTAACTTCTATATACTCATGTCGCTTGGGCCTCATATTCCCAGTTGCCTTGTTCAAGTCTGGTGTAGTCCCACTAATATTAGGTGTTGTCTCACTAATATTTGGTTTTGTCATACTAATGTTTGGTGTTGTCTCACTAATGTTTGGTTTTGTCTCACTAATATTTGGTGTTGTCCCACCAATGTTTGGTGTTGTCCCACCAATGTTTGGTTTTGTCTCACCAATATCTGGTATTATTTCACTAATATTTGGTGTTGTCTCACTAATGTTTGGTTTTGTCTCACTAATGTTTGGTGTTGTCTTACTAATATTTGGTGTTGTCTTACTAATGTTTGGTTTTGTCTCACTAATGTTTGGTGTTGTTTTACTAATATTTGGTGTTGTCTTACTAATGCTTGGTTTTGTCTCACTAATGTTTGGTTTTGTCTCACTAATGTTTGGTTTTGCCTCACTAATGTTTGGTTTTGCCTCACTAATGTTTGGTTTTGCCTTACTTATGTTTGGTTTTGTCTTACTAATGCTTGGTTTTGTCTCACTAATGTTTGGTTTTGCCTCACTAATGTTTAGTTTTGTCTCACTAATGTTTGGTTTTGTCTCACTAATGTTTGGTTTTGTCTCACTAATGTTTGGTTTTGTCTCACTAATGTGTGGTGTTGTCTCACTAATGTTTGGTTTTGTCTCACTAATCTTTGGTTTTGCCTCACTAATGTTTGGTTTTGTCTCACTAATGTTTGGTTTTGTCTCACTAATGTGTGGTGTTGTCTCACTAATGTTTGGTTTTGTCTCACTAATCTTTGGTTTTGCCTCACTAATCTTTGGTTTTGTCTCACTAATGTTTGGTTTTGTCTCACTAATGTTTGGTTTTGTCTCACTAATGTTCTCTGGCTCACTAATGTTTTCAGTTCGGTCCTGTTTCAATATAAAAGAGAATAACATAGATATTACAAATATGGAAAATATATAACAGGAAGATCGTTACTACTCAACAGGATGATCGTTACTACGCGACTGGATGATTATTACTACTCAATTGGATGAGCGAAACTACTTGACAGGGTGATCGGTACTACTCAACTGGGTGATAATTACTAATCGACTTGGTGATCAAAACTACTCAACTGGGTGATCAAAACTACTCAACTGGGTGACCAAAACTACTCAACTGGATGATCGTTACTACTCAACTGGATGACTAGTCTACTCGAATAGATGATATGATCATTACTACTCAAATGGATGACCATTATTACTCAACTGGATGATCATTACTATAGTCTCTCGGTCCTTCAGTAATTATCTTCTAAGGGCATACTCTTATTCCTATTTCAAACTGTCCAAGGATAATTAACATTTAAGGAGGTTCCTTTCTCTTCCAATCCATACCACCAGACCCTTTCCTTGCCCAAGCCGTCCACCATTCACAAGTGGGAAACCAGACTGCCCCTTCCCCTAATCCCATAAAAATCCCTTTTGTACATACTTGTAAATGGTGTACTATATTTCCAGTTTTATCATTAATGGAGTAAGCAGATTTCTTTCTACCAATCATTCTAAAGATAAAGAGGTCACAATGTTGTGTTGTCTTGACAACCAGATCTGATGACATGTCGTATCCATTGGATACCATCTCCCATAAAATAGTTCCATCGTTACCACTAATAACAACATGCTGAAACAATCCAAATAGATGACGCATATTAATTAATAGCACATTCATCTTTTTATAGTATCGAGCAATCAAACTGATTATCTATCCTAGTCTAAGCAGAAAATATTCAGCATCGAACTCAGTCACGGTTTTGAAGTACCTGTTAGTGAAACCATTTATTAATCATAATTACTCCAATGTAAACAGTGTAATTTCTTGAATTTTATCGTGCACAGTACTTTTATTGCGGCCATGTGTAAACACAGCTTTATTTAACGTTTCAAAAAATATATATAACTAATTTTTGACTAAGAAGTTTTGCAAACTTCCATATAGCCAGGCCCTGCATTCTGTATATGACAAGGGGAAGCAATGGAATTTAATGAAATGGGGTTTAACGTCCTACTGTTCTGCTTCAACTGGGCTAATGAAGATGGGCATACGCCATACAGTGTGCTATAAGGGAAATTTTGCCCGGGCAGCGGCACTATCGCCTACTCTTATATTGAATTCCAACTGCCAAGGGGTCTTTAACGTGCACGCCAATGTACACACGGGACCTCGGTTTTTCGTATTATCCGAAGGACTAGACAGCTGTCCTTGTCAGGCCCTCCGTTCTGCACCACTGACAAGGGGAAACCATGTGGGAAACATCCAAAAGAACTTTCTAGGCTAACAGCAGGGTTCAAGCATAAAATAAACAAACCCTTGTATAGTTGTAGTCCATCCAAGCTCCTTGACTAACATGAAACATAAAATCTAGGTAATCATCCTCATCAAAATAACCAGGGGCCGGTGTACTGTAAAACAGAGAGAAATGGGGTTTAACATCATCTTGACACAAACTAGGTAATTTCGGGACTAACATATAGTTCAATTTTATTTCATCAATTTTCTTGCGTGTAGTGGTCCTTTGATGTGGGAGGAATCCGGAAGAGCCACACAGTTGGACAGGCGACCCTACTCTTTGAAATGAAATGAAATGGGGTTTAACGTCCTACTGTTCTGCCCTGACTGAGCTAATGAAGACGGGCATACGCCATACAGTGTGCTATGAGATAAATTTTGTCTGGACAGTGGCAATATGGCCAACTCTTACATCGAAGGCCCTCCGTCCTGCACCACTGACAAGGGGGAACCACGCCAGAAAATCTGGATGAGCTTTCTCAGCCAATGCAGGGATCGAACATGCGACCTCAAAGCTAGCGAGCCAGCATCTTATCCACTTAGCCACTGTTGCCCCAATTTCTGAGAGAAGGGGCTGTCCTGCGTAAATGTGTTGTAGGGTTATGTACTGCATTAGAGACAAATGATACAATATATTCTACTCACTGGATCAGATTACATAAAACTCAACTTTGAATTTTAAATCAGTTTTGGGACTATTTGATTTTTGGCTAAAATGAAAGTAAACATTTAACCATTATTTACCTGTAAAATTCGAAGTTAGGGAATTCAGCAGTCCATTTTTTATCTAGGGTTTTTCCATCCAATAAAACCAGTTTACCATCGAATAATGAAACCAAGATATCTGCGACACCATCATTATTCACATCGACTATAATAGGAGGCACCATAACACCTTTCTTCATACCACTATCAAAAATAAAATATTTAACTGACCTAGAGATACAATCAATCCGTAATTTAACAAACATTTTGCAAGAGCTAAATCTGTCTATTTAAGGCCTTTCTTTAGGCCTGAAATGTTATCTAAATTATTAATTAGACATTAATTAACTTATCCAGACCATAATCAGCTCTTGATGCCATCGCTAGCCTGCAATATTTACTGGATTAGGATCCGATCTGCTGCTCAACTTTTATTTATGATTAAATCATGAAATGGAAAATCGAGACTATGTTTTTTATCATACCAACTTTAGTTATGAATATCGAGGCTAGGCTGAAAATTCAATCTCTAATTTCTCGGTTCAGAGTGGATCAATTTGACTGAAATTTTCAGCCAATTCACCTTACATTATTTAGTTTTTAACAATTATAGTGAGAACTGCCATCTTTTATCTGTGGTGCCATTTAACCCACCCACTCAGTTCTGCAGATTATCTGTTTGGAAGCATGTGTTGAAATTTGATTAAAATACAGAACTATATTTTGTTTCGTTTTTTTTATACTTTCAATGGCCTACATGTAGTGACCGGTTGTAGTGGGAGGTCATGTCAGGGGTCATACGAGGGACTTTTGACATAATGACATCAGATATTTGATTAACCAATCATTGTATATGTTTATAATGGATTACCCACAGATGCTGTGCATCACACGCCAAAATCTCTCTGCAACAGACCGTTTCATAGACTAATCCTTTACATCAGCCAGAATGCAGGTAATATAACAACTCTTCCAGATCCTAGTGTAGTAAAGACAAGTAAAACGAAATTTTGAGAGAGAGAGAGAGAGAGAGAGAAATGGGGTTTAACATCCACTTGACACAAACTAGGTCATTTCGGGACTATCATATGGTTTAATTTTATTTCAATAATTCGTTTGCTCGTATAGGGGTCTTTAGAAGTGGGAGGAAACTGGAGGACCCGGAGAAAAACCGCGAGGTTGGACAGGCAACACAACTCCTTGTCACATACAACCGGGGATTCGAAACCACGCCAGATGACTCAATGACAGGCCTTATGATACAGCGCGCACATGCTAACCATTCAGCCATCAAACCCCCCTGAAATTTTGAACAATAAAAAACGAAACGAAATAGGATCTGTGTTTTAATCAGATTGAAATGGTCCCTAAGGAAGTATATGTTGATGAAGTACGAGATAATCGATGTAATGATACTGTACCTGATTAATTTCATAACTCCTTCTTTTTTTTCCAGTGGAATGCTGCTGTATAACGATATATTTACCGAAGGCACTGGAGAATCAGGTTTACGGTCCATGACCTTTCTATAAAAATCTGGTACAGATATCCCCAATAGAGCCCCTAAAATAGAAAACACAAATATTTAAACTATAATGATGTTGATTGGTTGAGGGGAGCCATGGTGCTTCAGTGAGCACTTGGGCTGGTAATCATACCCTGATCAATATCAATGAATGAAATATATGAGAGAGAGAGAGAGAGAGAGAGAGAGAGCGAGAGAGAGAGAGAGAGAGAGTCCAACCTTCAATCATCACAACATATCATTTTGGGAGTCTTTTAGCGTTGGGATTAAAACAGAGATTTGACAGAGTACAAGCCGGGAATCAAAACTACACCACTTAACTCAATAACAGACCTTACAGTCTAAATCATGCACTACATTAAACCATTCAGACACTCAAACCCCCAGAGCATGACCAAGTTGAAAATCTTGACACTTAACCCATTAATTAGCCTACCTGATTACTTTTTTTATATTTTGGTTTTCGTGGTCTTTTTCCCATCATTTTTAGTTTTACATGCTCTCCTAGTTTCTCGTTGTCTTTAACAAGTAAACGACCTTTTGATCCTGTGTCGAACACATGGTTCAATTTTATTTCAATAATTCGCTTGTGCGTAGGGTTCTTTAGCAGTGGGAGGAAACTGGAGGACCCGGAGAAAACCCACGAGATTGGACAGGCGATCCTATTTTATTTCAATAATTCGCTTGCGGGTAGGGTTCTTTAGGAGTGGGAGGAAACCTGAGGACCCGAAGAAAACCCACGAGATTGGACAGGCGACCCTATGCCTTGTAATCGAAACTACGCCAGCTGACTCAATGACATATCTTATGATACAGCTCACACACGCTAACCAATCGACCATTCAACCCCCATGATTGATTGGAGGGTGCGGTCATCCCGAGCTAATTATTAAAGATCTCACCTGGGACTGTTTCCCCACCTGTACCATACAAGATGTACTGATCTCCCAATGATCTTGTATATATTACCGATGTCATGTACGTTTCTTTAAACTGCGGTAATTTGTAAAATTTCCCCAATGGTTTCCCGTCCCGTCCTGAGATTAGAATCAATCGTCCAGACTCTCTTTTATGATCCTAAAATAAAAAATATTGGTCAGATAAGCAGGACGTTGAACCCCATTTCATTTCATACATGTATATTCTTTTTTACATATTGTCACGGTGGCTAAGTGGGTAAGACGCTGGCTCGCTAGCCTGGAGGTCGGGTGTTCGATCCCTGCATTGGCCGAGAAAGTTCATCCAGATTTTCCGGCGTGGTTCCCCCTTGTCAGTGGTGCAGGACGGAGGGCCTTCGATCCCTGCATTGGCCGAGAAAGTTCATCCAGATTTTCCGGCGTGGTTCCCCCTTTGTCAGTGTTGCAGGATGGAGGGCCTGACAAGGACAGCTGTCTAGTTCTTCGGATGGGACGAAAAAATGAGATCCTGTGTACACATTTTAGTGCACGTAAAAGATCCCTTGACAGTTGGAACTCGATATAAGAGTAGGCCGTAGTGCCGGTGTCCGGGCAAAATTCCATGATGAGGGTAAAGTAGGCTGGAAAGTCCCAAGACAATCTGGTTAAAATATAGATCTATATTTCATTTCGATGGCCTCTACTACTTGAAGATCTCACCGATTGTAGTGGAAGGTCGCATCAGTGGAAATACGAGCGGCTTTTGACCCTATGACATCAGATATTCGATTAACCAATCAGCGTTGATGTTTCCCGTGGGTTACCCACAGTTACATGCACCGCATGTCAAAAACTCGCTGTAACAGATCGTTTCATTGACTAATTCCTCACATCATCCAGAACGCAGATTTTATAACAACTGTTCCAGATTCTAGTGTAGTAAAGACAAATAAAACGAAATTTTGAACTATAAAAAACAAAATGGGGTTTAACGTCCACTCGACACAAACTAGGTCATTTCGGGACTAACACATGGTTCAATTTTATTTCCATAATTCGCTTGCGCGTAGGGGTCTTTAGCAGTGGGAGGAAACCCGAGGACCCGGAGAAAACCCACGAGGTTGGACTGGCGACCCTACTCCTTGTCACGTATAACCGGGGATTCGAAACCACGCCAGTTGACTCAATGATAGACTTTATGATACAGCGTGCACGTGCTAACCATTCAGCCATCCAACCCCACCTAAACGAAATAGGATCTGTGTTTTAATGAGATTAGTTCCAAGAAACCTTCTCGACTAACAATCAACCCCTGCACCTGGTAAACATGCGGCAGATTCCTTGATTAACTGCTACTCCCCCTCAGACGCAGTCTAACTTGCAAATAAAACTAACAAAAACAAGACTAACAAAAACAAAAACAACGTCATACCCTGATGCTGATTGACATAAGCTTGGAAAAACGCCCACATAGCAACCAAGGAAAACTTGGATGTTGAACAAATGTCAGAGGGACTGACAGGGTGACGACTCTCTACAAATGTCAGGCGGACTGATAGGCTGACGACTGTCTACAAATGTCAGACGAATTGATAGGGCAACGACTATCTACAAATTTTAGACTGACTGACAGGGTGATGACTGTATACAAATGTCAGAAGGACTGACAGGGTGACGACTACCTACAAATGTCAGACGCAAGCCTGGAAATAAGGCACCTGTCACAGACAATGTCAGGCACAGATTCAGGCTTTGTAAGGCACAAACCTCTGGTGCCTGTCATTTTGTCTGGCACTGATTTGTCTTTTTTATTGATATTAATAATACATGTCTGGCACTAAGTTGAAAATGTCAGGTACTATTTCATTAGTGTCTGACATTTTGTCAGGTACATCTAAAACAGGTATTTCCAGGCCTGGTCAGACGGACTGACAGGGTGACGACAACCTACAAATGTGTCTGCTCTCAAGAATAACTTACTTCAGGTTCTGCCTTAGGATCACCTCCATGTGTCACAAGTAATTCTTGGATACCATCTGACGTAAAATCAGGCAATGCTGACACCTGGTATATATTCCAAGTGGGTCGATAATGTTTCTCGGATTTAGACCTCCATAATATATCACCTGTAAATATTTATACAAATGCTTTCAAAGACAGAGAGAGAGAAATGGGGTTTAACGTCAACACAACACAAACTAGGTCATTTTGGGACTAACACGTGGTTCAATTTTATTTCAATAATTCGCTCATGCTTAGGGGTCTTTAACAGTGGGAGAGAGAGAGAGAGAGAGAGAGAGAGAGAGAGAGAGAGAGAGAGAGAGAGAGAGAGAGAGAGAAATGGGGTTAAACATCCATTCAACACTAACTAGATCATTTCGGGAATGACATATGGTTCACTTTTATTTCAAAAATTTGCTTGTGCTTAGGGGTCTTTAACGGGGGGGGGGGGGGGAGAGAGAGAGAGAGAGAGAGAGAGAGAGATGGGATTTAATGTCCACTCGACACAAACTAGGTCATTTTGGGACTAACACATGGTTCAATTTTATTTCAATAATTCGCTTGCATGTAGGAGTCTTTTAGCAGTGGGAGGAAATAGGAGGATCCGTAGAAAACCCACAAGGTTGGACAGGTGACCTTACTCCTTGTCACATACAACAGGAGATTCGAAACCATGCCAGTTGACTCAATGACAGACCTTATGATACAGTGCACACGTGCTACTTTAACACTTTAACCACTAGATCACTGGATGAGGATCTCATTTGCTGCTCAACTTTCATTCATGATTTAATCATGAAATGGATAATCGAGACTATGTTTTTTATGGTACCAACTTCAGTAATGATCGAGGCTAGGCTGAAAATTCAATGGCTAAAATCTTGGTTCAGATTGGATCAATTTGACTGAAATTTTCAGCAAATTCCCTTTACATTATCTAGTTTTTAACCATTATAGTGATAACTGGCAGTTCTTTATCTAATCTCCCATAATGTATCTTTAAATAAAGGTGAGTGGATTTAACTGGTTGAACAAAACAAGAACTAAATAAAAAATTAGCATCAGGTAAGTTATGACATGGGTTGTCATGGCAACTTTGACCCTTTTCTCGAGATGTTGGTCTAGCAATAACCCACACTCACCGTTCGTTACATCAATGGCCACTATTGTTGCGTTACGACCCGTTACAATGCAGTCTATTCTGCTGTCATTATTTACATCTATATCGTGACAATTCATAAACAAAATACTTGAACCGAATTTTTCCGTTCTCCACAGTTCCTTCCCGTCGTAACCTCGTACAGCTATCACAATACCCTTGAAGTCATCAATGACATCTGCAAAAACACAAAAACATTACATGAATAAAATTTTAACCTAAAACAAGACGTTGGTGTCAGATAACATTTTGAATAGGCTTTCATGTAAATTTTATTTCTATGACCACCTGTGCAATGCTGGTGTGTGTGTGTGTGGGGGGGGGGAGGTGGGGATAGGCGTGCGCAATTTTTCCAACTCTTCCTCAAATTCCATGCCAATGTATTTGTTCATAATTATGCACATTTTTGTTGTCAGCAACGTAGGCGCATCCACCCCTCCACCCCCTCTCTCACACACACCCACACCCACACAAACAACCCCTCTCCCTCCTGCCCCATGATAAGCTTGGCTTTAAACAATACTAAAGGTTGTTCTTGGTCAATTGAGGCCCTTACTGATTGACCACCACCCTCCCCAACAAAAACCCACCGACTTATCTTGAAGCAGGGGCAATCTAATAGATAGGCCTGTGTTCTCTCCAATCGGATTAAAATACAGATCTATATTTCGTTTCGTTTTTTTTATATATATATATACTTTCGATAGCCTACACTCCATAAGATTTGACCAGTTGTAATGGAAGGTCGCGTCAGAGGTCATACAAGCGTCCTTTGATCCTATGACGTCAATCAGCATTGATGTTACTAGTGGATTACCCACAGTTCCGTGCAAAACATCGTAACAGATCGTTTCATTGGCTAATTCCTCACACCATTCAGAACAAGTCAATGATAACAACTCTTCCAAATCCTAGTGTAGTAAAGACAAGTAAAACGAAATTTTGAACTACAAAAAACGAAACGAAATAGGATGTGTGTTTTAATGAGATTGGTGTTCTCTCTCGATCGACCACCACAGGCCCCTCCCTAGCATATCTTCACTTATTACCTAGTCATCCCAAACTTAGGCTGCCTGTCTACAGTCATGTTCCTGAAGCAACGATCGCGAGTTTTACAACATCTAACCGTTGCTTCAGTACTGGGCAATTCTCGAAATTTTGCGCTCATTGTGTTTACATGCGATCAATTAGCATTGTCCAATCAGGAGTCGTCGCACATAACACATTGTAAACAAATATGGCGGCCTCCATAGAAACTCTTTGTTGATCAGGTATGATTTCCAGCAACCTTGACATTGATCGAACCTTGAACTTTGCAACTCGATTGTCACATGTAGACATTTTAGCTATAAGCGCGAGACTATTTTTAACGAAGGAATCTGATAGGATCACAAGCTGGGCTTATACCCAATCAAAAATAGTGCCAAAATATGCAGGGTATTACGTGAAGGGCTTGATAAGATGTACATAGTTAAGGCGATGGTCTGGACAGGCCCTAACCTAATTAACCGACATTTTAATTCCTACATCGATGATTTTAGTCGAAAACACTGAGTATACGTTTAGAAATTTTTAGAAGTATTTATTTCTCTTCTATTGTCATATTGAATGAAATTTAATATGTTTATTTAGCCGTTGTGTGTATGAAATATGTCAAACGGATTAGAACCGAAGCATGAAATATAGTCCACTAATTATTCAATATGGCAGTGCCCATGAAAGATACGTTCACAGAAGCGGCTTTGTTTGCGAAGATAAATTTAGGAGTATCTAACCTTGTTTTGAAAGATAGACAGATGAAAACTCTAAAGGCAGTTTACAATGATAAAGACTGTATTGCAATATCACCCATTGGCACATATTATATATCACTTTTACCGGAGTAGCAGAAGTCAACATTTTACTAACTTGACATATTTGTTTACATAAACCATTTGCTTCGGGTATAAATTGCAATATATATACGTCATTGACAGTACAAGCTGATAAGTCCCGCCGCAAAATGATCACGTGAGTGTTTTTAATGGACGGCATTTAGCGCAGTGATGTATTCTCAAGGTATGAAGTAGATGGAGAGAGAGAGAGAAATGGGGTTTAACGTCCACTCAACACAAACTAGGTCATTTCGGGACTAACACATGGTTCAATTTTTTATTTCAATAATTCGCTTGCGCGTAGGGGTCTTAGCAGTGGGAGGAAACCGGAAGACCCGGAGAAAACCCACGAGGTTGGACAGGCGACCCTACTCCTTGTCACATCCAACCGGGGATTCGAAACCCCGCCAGTTGACTCAATGACAGACCGTAGGATACAGCGCAGCGGGCACGAGCACTAACCCCCCTGAAGTAAATGGATCGATGTGTGCAGTATGATTACCTAGTGTGTGTGCTGATGATTTGTTTTCCCTTGACACGAATTCAACGATTCCAATCAATAAATCATCTTTACCATCATTATCAACATCTAAAAGACGTATTACTGATTCCGTTGCTGAAATAAACATCAGTTTAAATAAAAAAAACACTTGATATCCAATACTCATTTATATATAATTCAAAATACATTATGTAAAAGCTAAATCTGCCTATTGCAGAACTTTCTTTATGCTTCAGATGTTATAGAAATTATTAATTAGACATTAACTAACTTATCCAAACCATAATCAACTCTGTAGACCCTCGGATGGCTTGGATACAGCTTGGATTTAAACAGTCGTCCTTTTAATAATTAAATCAATAAATGGCTGACCGAGCTAACATTTACCGTTAATCACTGACGTCACTCCCGGAGACTGCCGATGACAGGACTGACAATCGAAGGTACCATAGCCATTGAGAATGCTACTAAATAATCGAGAATATGTGGGTGGAGTTATTGTCTGTCAATCAAACGATCAGCAATTCTCGTGCAAACCCAGTTGATGCCTATTTCTAGTCCAAACTTCCAACAGTGACAACTCCGTTCAGAATAAAGTAATTTGACTGAAATTTTCAATATTTTCTTTTTTTATCATCTTTTTTTGAATTATTATAGCAAGAATGGCCAACTCTTTATTAAACTCTTAACTAGTGTATCTTTAAACATGCATTATGTAAGATTTCAATAAAGAGCTGCTGCTGTCAGTTCTTGCAATAATAGTTGTTTAACTCGAGCATTAAAGCGACTTAATGTAAGATTTTGATTGCAATAACAGTTCAAAAATAGGGAATGTTTTAAAAATTTCAGTCACTTTGCTTCATTCTGAGTGATTAACTAATCAGTGTTAATGTTTCTAGTGGGATATCCACAGTTCCGTGCACTATACGCCAAGAACTTGCCATAACAGACCATTTCATTGGCTAATCCCTCACATCAACCAGAACACGGGTTATATAACAACTCTTCTAAATCCAAGTGTAGTAAAGACTAGTAAAACAAAATTTTGAAGTATAAAAAACGAAACGAAATAGGATCTGTGTTTTAACCGGATTGATTAACTAGCGAATTGTGTTTAAATTTGTTGAATATTAAAGCCCTACGAGGTTCTAGAGACTTTATGATACAGCGCGCACGTACTAACCATTCAGCCATCGAATGACGGTCGAAGAGAAACTCTGGAATTACCTGCATCATTATAAAGCAGACTCCAATCTTCCACGTTGACAACGGTTCCTCCTCCTCCTCCTCCTATTTTGTGCCAGTGCAGAACAGGAATAGTCACAGCACTTCCGATAAATATCAGGGATAAAGACAGAATGACACACATTTTACAGCTCATATTTTTAAATATCCCCTAAAAAATCAAATGAAATGAGGTTTAACGTCCTACTGTTCAGGGCCCTGTTTCTCGAAATCTTAACTAAAGATAAAATCCAAATGTTAGTAGATACTTCAATTTTGATTGGCTAAGCCCTAAAACCAACCTAATAATTATCCAATCAAATTACTAAAATTTGGATTTTATCTTAGTTAAAATTTCGTGAAACAGGCCCCTGGTCCTATTGGGCATACGCCATACAGTGTACTACTAGGACTGACATTTTGCCAGGACAGGGGCATTATGGCCTACCCTTAAAAACTTTTTTTGAATTCCAACTGTGTACACACAGGACCTGATTTAATTCCATTTTTCTTAATTGATATTGAAAAAGACATGCACATGATTGAGTTCAGAATCTGATACTAAGACCATTTTAAGCTTATCTCACCTCTATTTCTATATTTGAGGGAGCAGGTGCTCAAAGATAGATAGAGAGAGAGAGAGAGAGAGAGGGAGAGAGAGAGAGAGGGTTTAACCTCCAATCATCACAACATATCATTTTGGGAGTGTTTTAGCAGTTGAATTAAAACAGAGGTTTGACAGACGACTCTACTCCTTGTAACGTACAAGCCAGGGATGAAAACTACAACACTTGACTCAATAACAGACGTTATTCTCTAAATCGCACATCGCTTTAAACCATTCAGACACTCAAATCCCCAGCATGTGACCAAGTTGAGAAGCTTAACACTTGAACCCTTAAGTAGCCTACTGCTACTCCTTGTAACGTACAAGCCGGGGATGAAAGCTACACCACTTGACTCAATAACAGACCTTACAGTCTAAATTGTGAACTGCAATTAAACAATAACGACACTCAAACCCCGAGCACGTGACAAGGTTGAGAAATCTTGACACTTAAATCATAAATTAGCCTACCGGTACTGCATTGCTTTTTTTATATTTTGGTTTTCGTGGTCTTTTTCCCATCATTTTTAGTTTTACATGCTCTCCTAATTTCTCGTTCTCTTTAACAAGTAAACGACCTTTTGACCCTCTATCGAAAAGGACATCATCATCACTTCCATGTAAATCTTCATCGTCACTGTCGTCACTGTCGCTAAGATGTTTGGATTGCTTCAGTTGTTTATATGCTACACCTCTTCTTATTTTCATTTTACCGCTGAAATAAAATGATAGTTAATTTCAAGGTCCCGAGTTCACAAGGCATTCTCAGACTTAAAGGAGCTAAATCGCTAATATTTGGGACGTAGAAATTGACACTAATGGGTCGCAACGTAGATAATAATGTAATATGAATGATTTAATGGGTTTCTTGAATCTAGCTTCTCATTAAAGGAGCTAAATCGCTAATATTTGGGACCTACAAATTGACACTAATGGGTCGCAACGTAGATAATAATGTAATATGAATGATTTAATGGGTTTCTTGTATCTAGCTTCTCATTAAAGGAGCTAAATCGCTAATATTTGGGACCTACAAATTGACACTAATGGGTCGCAACGTAGATAATAATGTAATATGAATGTAAATAAACTGATTTACATTCAATCGTTTCAGTTTTTACTCTAATTTCAAAGCAGTTATGTTCGGCGAAATACGCCAGAAGACTCAATCAAATGGCAATCTCTAGCGTCTGGTTATTCCAGTTTACACCGATAGTATTTATTGAGCATGTTCTCCAGATCAGAATATGACTTGTGGAATATGTCTAACCTCGTTCTTCATGTCGCTTGTTACAAATTGCGCTGAAACGCATTATGGTACACGATTCGTGTACCAATCGTGAAATGTTTATTTTGTCTTAAATATTGGATATCAGAAGCCCATCTTTTTTCGGTAAGATCACAACACCAATGTTGATTAAAATTGACAAATAATTCGTGTTTTCATTGTCGAAGGTTTTGGATGATATTGAGTTAGAGACTTAGCTACTTTAAACATACATTATGCAAGAGCTAAATCTGTCTATTGCAGGTCTTTCTTTAGGCCTGAAATGTTATCTAAATTATTAATTAGACATTAATTAACTTATCCAGACCATAATCAACTCTTGATGTCATCGCTAGCACGCGATATTTACTGGATTAGGATCCGATTTGTTGCTCTTACAGACTTTAGTAATGATGATTGAGGCTAGGCCGTAAATTCAATCACTAAAATCTCAGTTCAGAGTGGATCAATTTGACTGAAATTTTCAGCAAATTCCCTTTACATCACCTAGTATTTAAAGATACATTATGGGAGATTCGATAACGAGTTGGCAGTTCTCACTATAACAATTAAAAACTAGATAACGTAAAGGCAATTTGCTGAAAATTTCATTCAAATTGATCTACTATGAACTGAGAACTAAGCGGACGAAATTTCTGCCTAGCCTCGGTCATCATTACTAAAGTCAGTACGATAAACACCATAGTCTCGATTTTCCATTTAATCCTTTAATCGAGAAGGAAAGTTATGCACTAAATCGGCTCATAATCCACTTAAGATCGCAGGCTAGCGATGCCATCTAGAGTTGATTATAGTCTGGATAAGTTAATTAATGTCTAATTAATAATTTAGATAACATTTCAGGCCTAAAGAAAGACCTGCAATAGACAGATTTAGCTCTTGCATAATGCATGTTTAACAATTATAGTGAGAACTGCCAGCTCTTTATCTAATCTCCCATAATGTATCTTTAAGTTAAGAATTTACTCAAAATTGTTCGCCTTATTTTAAAGATACATTCCCACGTACAAACTGGGTGATTTGGTGACATATTTGGCCTAAAAACATATTCAAATTAATTAATTTATCATAAATTTGCTTCAAATCCTTATCAAAACATTGTAATTGTCAAGGAATACCCTTGCTATAAAAAATCGATTAAAAGAGGTCATGTTTGTGTCACGTGACTTACGGGTGCAAAGTCAGAGGAGAATTCATTGCATACACAAGACGATGTTGTCTTTAATCGCTGACTATTTATTACAAATATCGAATCCTAATTAAATTCTCGGATTATGCACTGCCCGCGTCTTTTTCTGTGATTTTTATCTCAGAAAGTGTTGTACGTCTAACTCTTCATAAAGTTTATCAACATGTACATCAAGCGCTCAACCTCCGCGTGCAGATATTCCTAATTGTCGGACTGTCGATTAGGGGAACCCTGACATTTTTGTCCTGTATACGCTCTATGGGTGTTTTCCAGGGAATCCAGAATTTTTCTAGTAAGATTGGATATCTCTACTTTCCATATATACCAAAATTGCCATACTTTTATTAGAAATAAGCACTCGATAAATACTTTTCTGGGAACCTATCTTTCACTATATAACTTTTGTTTTAACTTTTGTTGTTTTAATATATCAAATACCGGTACATCAAATAAGAAACTACACGTATGTGCAAAGTTAAGTGTTTCTGGATCAAAGATTATAATTTCTTATAAACAGTAATTGCAAGTTAAGTAAAATCTTAACTTAAGTCTGAGAATGTTTTGTGAACTCGGGTCCTGTCCTTCCAACTCAAAATCATGAATAAATTAATTTTCTCTGATTGGCATTTAGTAATTGAACATATTAACACAAGGTACAATTTTATGGATACCCAATTACTGAGTTTAATACTAAGCGACGTTTCGACGCGATTACTCTCGTCTTTATCAAGCAAATGATACAGGTATGTGAATAGTAGGCAAATATATACAAAATATGTAACAAACAGTCAAACATAACAATCAAATACAATTAAAACTTATCACCTTTGATTAAGGGGGCCATTAACAACTAAATCCACACAGTGGAAAATCTTACATGCATCGAAACGTCGCTTAGTAATTGTGTATCCATAAAAATGAAATGAAATGAAATGGGGTTTAACGTCCTACTGTTATTCTCTGAACTTGGCTAATGAAGACGAGCATACACCATACAGTGTGCTATGGGGGAAATTTTGCCCGGGCAGCGGCGCTACGGCCTACCCTTATATCGAAGGAATCTTTTATGTGCACGTCAATGTATACATATAGGAACTTCAGTTTTTTGTCCCATCCGAATGACTAGATAGCTGTCCTTATCAGACCATCCGTCCTGCACCATCTGAAAATCCTGCAGAGATCGAACACTCGACCTCATTTATCAACCGTGGATCCTACTGACAAAAAAAACAATGCATGAAAATACCGAGGAACTTTTTCGGTTGACTCTGTTATCAAATCTCGAACCTTGTCCTTTAGGTTAGCACAAGCGAGTGTCTTAAAGATACATTATGTAAGATTTAGATAAAGAGAGAGAATTTCAATAATTCGCTTGCGCATAGGGGTCTTTAGCAGTGGGAGGAAACCGGAGGGCCCGGAGAAAACCCACGAGGTTGGACAGCCGACCCTACTTGTCACGTACAACCGGGGATTCGAAACCACGCCAGTCGACTCAATGACAGACTTTATGATACAGCGCGCGCACGCTAACCATTCAGCCATCCAACCCCCCGATTTAGATAAAGATCAGAGCTAGCCATTCTTGCTATAATAGTCCGAAAATAGATAATGTAAAATGAATAACTGGAAAATTTCATTCAAATTACTCTATTGGGAACGAAGATATTAGCCTTTGAAGGTTTGACAAGACGTGTGCAATAATTTCAACCACCGTACTGGTTGTTCGAAGCTAAGTCTCGCTCCTCCATTATTAGCTTAAATCAAAATATGGCTGAACTGTTCTAATCTATTTAATATCGGAGAAATCCGATGCCATCAAGAGTTGATTATGCCCTGGATAAGTAAATTAATGTCTAATTAATAATTTAGAAAACATTTCAGGCCTAAAGAAAGATCTGCAATAGGCAGATTTACCTCTTGCATAATGTATGTTTAATTAAAGCGTAGAACTAAAATAAATCATAATGCTCAACCAGTGTCAACATATACCATGGGTTAGATATGCTACAAATCGACTCTAGCTTGTTCCACACTAGTTCAGCTCTGAACGTAGGTCTCATTACAGGATCAGTGTAATGAGATCTACGTTCAGAGCTGAACTAGTTCCACACAGCACAATATTACCCATTGGTACCCCACCCCCTCCATCGCACACAATTATAAATATTGGTTTTTTTTTGGGGGGGGGGGGGCAGGTGGGATCTTATTCCTAATGCAAAATCATGGGTCAACATGTCCCTGCATTAGATTGATCAATTCTAATCACTTTTGCATCACATCCATTTTGGGAATTTGCAGTTAAATAAAGCGCTGTCAATTCAGAAGCTTTCAAGATCTGAATGCGAGTGAAGCCGATGAGCTCACATCACATTTTCCTTCATCCTCGGTATCCCTAGATAAAAAATCTTACCTCTCAACCCTCCGTGTTTCGAGATAAGATATGATGCCATTAATTCCAATGTAGAGCGATTCGCACCCGGCATTTGTAAACAAAATTGACAATATTTTTAATCAAAACAACGACTGATTATTGTTATTTATAATATTTCTGCCACATCCAACTACAATTTAGCATATAATCCTACCTGAAACGGGTACAAATCGTCGTTTTTAAAATCGAGGCGTTAAGCCGTTACGAAGACCGCCATCTTTTTAAACGATACGCTGTCATCATGAAGGCGGGGCTAAATATAAGGCTTTTATAACAGCCAATCAAAAGGGCAATCTAAAGCATTTTAACTATGAATGGATTTCGATGGCGGTGAATGTCCTGCAAAAACAACGCTTCATTAATTTAAACGCGAATATTTGGAGTTAGGCGACAGTTGTACCACTACATTGGCCTCTGTAAGTTTAATTAATCATAATAGCATAAACTCATCTTATTTTAAAGATGTAACATGCATTAATAAAGAAATTGAGTTTGCCACTTGGAACTAAAGGCATCCAATCGTAGCTAAAAACAAACACATCAGTATATCTCAACGTTTTTAGCTACGTTCTCGTAGCTAGGTATCCCCAGTGGTACACTGGTACGTGTCATTCCGTACATTCTACTCCACTAACCCTTTGGTCCATTCCACGGGGGATTTACGAATTCAAGTTATCTGCCCTTGATGATTTCAATGGCCACATACATACTACACAGGCTAATAATACGATGACATTCATTCTGATTCAATTCTCAATTCCATTGCATCAATGATGCAAAGCATTAATTGTGATATCACATATATCATTATCTCACACTTTCAATGCCCATCCCATCTGATGATAAAGGACAAAGCACACCACACTTTTCTCATAAAAAGTGTTGTTTTACAAATATTCTATACTTACTATGTACCAGTATGTAGTAGGCTATACTACTAATACTAGGCTATAGTTAATAAACGTCTAATTAATAATCATAATATCATTTAAGGCCCAAAGAAAGACTTGCGAACAACTTGACACCCGATCCACCAAATTGCGTCATAAAAAATAATCGACTAATACACTTGCCAATGACAATGCTACGGTCCAGTTATTACTACTGAAGCGAGTAAGTAACATGTTGCATATCTGGTCAAAGTATTAAAACAAACGAAATATATGTGTTGACTGTCGATTACTAAACGCCTAATGATAAAGAATAATTGATATTACCTGTTTTCTGGTCTTGTCACTGTCACATACAAGCATAATATTAATAGTTTTGTTTTGAAACTTAAACCTTCCCGGATTATTTACAAAATACTTTGAATAAGGGAGCTAACTCCGTAAAACCAGTCTGGATTCAGACTAGTAATTCTCAACCCCCAACTTCTATGTTAAATCCATGACATTTCTTAGTATAATTCATTTCTTTGAACATTCCGATGACTTTAATTTTTATAACCATACGCGTCCAACTTAGTCATAATCATCTGATAAAAATATTGAACGGGGTTGACCGTTTCCATGATTTTCTTTAACCGTGTCATCACAGAAGTCAAAGGAATGGTACGCCATTTTAGTAGGGGATTTCCCTAATTCATGTTTACTTCTAGATCCTTCCGCCTCAAAATCATTACTATTCACTACAGCCCGGGAGCAAATGTAAAACACTCTTTTACAACAAATACTCAACAATTGGTTGCCAGGATAAAGGGGAGGGGCGCAGGGTGGACAGAAATGGACTAACATGTGGTTCAACTTTATTTCAACAATTCCTTTGCTCGTCGTAGGTGTCTTTCGAAAGCTTTAGCTGTGGGAGGTCCCGGAGAAAAAGACTGAGAGGGGTTCACTAATCCGCCGCTATAAGAATACTATAAATATGGGTATCAACAAACTTAACCCAAACCCTAACCCTGATAATAGATATTGGTGGACAAATGAACCCGCAGACTAGTGCACTTTCCAAACCCTTATAATAGGTATCGGTGCACTAATGAACCCGCAGACTAGTGCACCTTCTTCCGGTTGAGAATGGTTAGCGTAGCGCATGTGCATTGAATCATAAGGTGTCATCGAGTCACATGGCTCGGTTTCGATTCCCTGATTGTACGTGACAAGGAGTAGGAGGGTTGCCTGTCCAACCTCGAGGGTTTTCTACGGGTGCTCTGGTTTCCTCCCACTGCTAAAGTCCACTTGTGTCAAGTGGACATAAACCCCATTTCTCTCTCTCTCTCTCTCTCTCTGAGCCATGCAGGGAAGGAGAATATAATTTCTAGTTATTTAGGATCTTGTAAATAAACAGCCATTTGAGTCTCATGAACAAATTGTTCAATATTCGAAAACTAATTTGGAAATAAAAGCTTGAGGGAATTTTGCCAGGACAACAGTACTCCGGTCTACTCTTATATAACGTGCACAAAAATGTGTAAACAGGACCTCGGTTTTGTGTCCCTCCTTCCTGCACCACTGCAGGGGCGGATCCAGAGGGGGGTTTGGGGGGGTCGACCCCCCCCCCCCCCCCTGCTCAGCTACATAAAATTTTTTGTAAATCAGTACTTTTTATGAGAAAAGTTTCTCGGCCATGTCCTTTATCGTCAGATGTGGGACAGCATGGCCACTCAAAGCACGAGATAATGATATAGACATTATGTGATATCACAATTAATGCTTTGCATCCATGAAATTGAATGACAAGGTCATTGTATTAATTCATAATAAAAATTGACATCAAACGAGGTGTTGGATTTATGTTTAAAAAGCTCAATGTGTATGTATATTTGCCAAAATGACCATAGACATTATGCGGGAGGGAGGGGGGGGGGAGATACATTGTCTCAGGAAACTGGCAAACCCCCTCCTGCAAAAATTCCTGGATCCGCCCCTGCACTGACAAGGAAGAACCATGGCAGATAATCCTGAAGAATTTTCTTGGTCAAAATAGGGATCGAACATCAGACCTCCAGGTTAATGAGCCAACAACTCACTCATTGAGCCACTGCAGCTCCGATAAAAGAGAGAGAGAGAGAAATCGACGCAATCTAGCTCATTTTGGGACTACAATTTTATTTCAATAATTTGCTTGCGTGTAGGGGTGTTTAGCAGTCATAGGAAACTGGAGGACCCAGAGAAAATCCACGAGGCTGGACAGGCGACCCTACTCCTTGTTACGTACAACCAGGGAATCGAAACCACGCCAGCTGATTCAATGACAGACCATTCGGCCATTAACCCCCCCCACCCCCCGCTCTGATGAGTGAGAGAAATGGGGTTTAACATCCAATCGATGCAAACTAGCTCATTTGAGACTAACATGTATGGTTCAATTTTTTTTCAATAATTTGCTTGTGTGTAGGGGTCTTTAGCAGTCATAGGAAACTGGAGGACCCAGAGAAAATCCACGAGGCTGGACAGGCGACCCTACTCCTTGTCACAAGCAACCAAGGAATCGAAACCACACCATTTGACTTAATGACAGACCTTATGTTAGGGTGACCCGTGCAGTCTACAGAAAGTTGGTCTCGACACGGCTATTTACTCAAAAGTGTCTGGATGTTATGGACAACACTTGGAACCAGTTTCAGTCTATTATTTATAGATAATTAAATGGTCATAGCTTATTAAGTACAACATGATCGTTTATTTAGTGACTAGAATTGTGTGAAACTGATTTAAGGCTTGATATATATATAAATATTGTGGCATAATTGTCAAGATATTTGGAAATATTTATTTATGATGGGTCACCCTAATACAATGCACACGCGCTAACCAGCTAACCATTCGGCCATTCCTCTCCCACCCCCACCCCCAAAGACTTAGGACCTGGTAAGGAACAGTGTGTTCAGTGTCTTGTCAGTGGGATGACATGACAGATCTTGTACAACCGGGAAATTGAAACCACGCCAGAGTTGACTCACAACACACAGGCGACCCTACTCCTTGTCATGTACAACCTGGGAATCGAAACCACGGCAGTTGATTCAATGACAGACCATTTGGCCATCCAATCCCCCAGCTCCGATAAAAGAAAAGCAACGAGTTGATAAGACATTGATATTTATTTATGGACTATACAAGGCTGGTGTGTCTTAAAAGTCAGGAAAAAAAACAGCCATCGCATAAATTTTTAACTATTTCATCCCATCGCCTTGACGGGAAAAAAATGTACATATTAATATTTGAATAATAGACATTTGACAAACATAGGAACGAAAAAACCCACTGAGCACTATATTTTTTATATAATTTGTAAACGTTATTTTTTTTTCAAAGCCGTAACAACAGACAGATAAAAATGAAAATAAAAGAAGAAAATGATGGAATCCTAATTAACGCAGATGTGTCTTAACCGTGCTTTAGTACACCTGCCATGGGCGTCCAACGCTTTATTTATTAAAAATGCATTTTGATTTTCTTGTTTAGTTTTTTTTTTACTGTAGGCTTGTCTCAATCGTTATCTAGTACCTGTCTCAATTGTTATCTAGTACACCTGTCTCAATCGTTATCTAAAACACCTGCCAATGGCTGCCATGGGTGACAAACTAAAATTTACTGGATTTTGATTCTCTTACATCAACAGATTATTTATTACTTTTTTTGCATTATCCCAAATTGGTTTTATACATCTCATATAGAACTATAAAGGCTAAATTCTTTGATATTGAATTTCATGGCATGTAAAGTGACTAACAGGTAAGTTCTCCAGATGGTCGTTTTCTAGAAAGATTGGCAAATACTAATGAACGAGACCTTTGAACGAATACAGACACCCATGGCATGTAAAAAAAAATTCCAATAATCTGACCGAACTACGTCATTTAGAAAGATGATTATAAAATAAGTGATCAATTAAACAAGAGGTTGATTATTAATTAATACACGCTTTTCATACACTTTTACCTAATATTTACCTTCTAGATCTGGTAGCAGCACTTAATATATTTAAAATAGATCCAAATAATACACAGAAATATAAACGAATCGAAATTCATTTACAGCACAGAAAAAATATTTACATTTTCAAATTATCATTTAATTTGAAATTTGAAATTGAAAATTAAATATCTATAGATCAATTACAGAAACATGTAACGTTCATATCATCAATTCACGGTGTTCTTTTTATTCCTTAAAATGAAAAAATGATACTATTGATTGACAAACAAATCATTCTACAATGGCATTTATTAAGAATATTTAACACAGTTGTCATTTGACACTGATGGTTGAATGACAATAGAAAAAAAACTTCCTTCTCAAGCCCAGAAACAATCCTACCGTTGGAATTCGAAATCAAAGAATTTTTGTATACCTCTTATTTCGATTGGTCGACTAACATATTGTTTTGATTGGTTAATAGACACATGGCTTAAAACAAAGGGTTTTAAGTGTTGCTACGAAGTTGCCTACTTGACATATATCAATTATTTAAAATAGTTTTACAGAAAGGAGGGTTAGATGGGTTATTTTTTTCAAATATGGTACAAATATCATCATTTTTCACATAAAATAGTTCTGTTTTTGTCCCCAGTACACCTCACTTGTTTAAGAGTTTAGATTAAAATGAATAACTTAAATATCAAAAGTTACTTAATAAGAACAAGAAGAAATGGAGCCAATGCTTACATACTATAAAAATTCTAAGATTAAGAAAGAATTTTTTCTGGGCTTCATTTTTTTTTTTTTGTTTTATAATAATAACGTTTATGGTCACATTGCATATTTTACTGTCCATTCTCGAGCCATTGAAGTGTATTTACACCTGTCTGTTTTGTAGATTCTGGCTATTTCTGGAACAAGTGGATCGTCGGGATTTGGGTCTGTTAATAGGGAACAAATGGAAAGCAGAACTGGAAATGAAAAAATAAAATTTTAATTTTTTTTTATTATTTTTTTTTCTTATGCAACACTTGTAAAATGCACAGAACTGAAAATGAAAAAATAAAATTTTAATTTTTTTATTATTATTTTTTTTATTTATGCAACATTTGTAAAGTGCACGTCCTTAACTCGAGAGTTCAGAGGCACAATATAGGATAATCAAATATCTATAAAAGGTGGAAATGAGAGGGGGAGTGGCAGTCTGATCAAAAAACAGATCCTATTTCGTTTTATTTTTATAGTTCAAAATTTTGTTTTAATTGTCTTTAATACACTTTGATCTGGAAGAGTTGTTATACATGTATAACCCACGTTCTGGATGATGTAAGGGATTAGCCAATGAAACGGTCTGTTGCAGCGATTTCTTGGCGTTTGATGCACGGAACTGTGGGTAAACCACTAGAAACATCAATGTTGATTGATTAATTAATGTCTGATGTCATAGGGTCAAAAGCCGCTCGTATGACCCCTGACACGACCTCCTCCTACAATTGGTCAGATCTTCATGTAGTAGAGGCCATCGAAAGTATAAAAAAACGAAACGAAATATAGATCTGTATTTTAATTAGGTTGCAGGAGTAGCAGAGGTTGGACAGACCGGTTCAGGGTGGATCAATTTGACTGACATTTTCAGCAAAATCACTTTACATTATCTAGTTATTTAACTATTATTTATAGTTAGAACTCCCAGCTCTTTATCTAATCTTCCATAATGTATCTTTAATTAAATGTTAAATAATCAATCAATCTATATATTTCGTTTCGTTTTTTATACTTTCCATGGCCTACACTACATGAAGATCTGACAAGTTATAGTGATAGGTCACGTCAGGGGTCAAAAGACCGACTTATGACCCTATGACGTCAGACATTTGATTAATCAATTAGCATTGATGTTACTAGTAGATTACCCACAGTTCCATGCAAAACACGCCTAAAGCTCACCGTAACAGACCGTTTCATTGGCTTATCCAGATCCAAGTGTAGTAAAGACAAGTAAAACGAAATTTTGAACTATAAAAACGAAACGAAATAGAATCTGTGTTTTAACCAGATAGATAATGAATCTACATGTAGTATGGATTAAGCAGTGGGAAAGTACACATTGTCCGAACCATAAAAAGTAACAATGAGCAGCTTTCAAAGACGTATATTGATTGTTTTTTTTATAAAATCAGATAAAAGCATTGATTATTACATGTATTTCTAAATATTTTGACTATTGCATAAAATATAGCGTTGCTAGGCAATGGATTTATGCCAACCACCAGCGGATTGTAAGAATTCAACATCAAAAGCAATAACTACGAATGGTAGATTCTTGGTTTGTTGTTACGTGACTAGTCAAACATACCTAACAAGTTTGCAAAAAAAAATATCTCAAAGATTTGGAACAATAGATTAAATTCAAGGTTTATAAATTTTGAGACAGCTTCCACTGTAACCCAGGTATTGTTTAATCTTGTGTATATAGCACTAATTTCTTTCACATTCGTTTAATATCAAATCTTTGTTTAAAAATTTGTAAAAACTGTTTAAAATCACCATAAATCGTTTAATTTGTACTTCTGTCCAGTTTAAAGATGACCATTCAATTTTGATAATGAGTGTCCAATTTACAAGTGTTTAATTTCTCAATCCTTGTTAAAAAATCAACAACCCAATTGATTAATGATGTATAATGATTAATTTTTGAACAGTGATCAGGAAATTAAATACTTGTAAATTGGACACTCATTATCAAAATTAATCAGTCAGCTTTAAACTGGACACATGTACAAATCAGATGATTTTTGGCGATTTTAAACAATTTTTACAAATTTTTAAACAAAGATTTGATATTAAACAAATGTGAAAGAAATTAGTGCTAGATACACAAGATTAAACGATACTTGGGTTACAGTGTTCCCCTCATGACAAAGCAAGAAGTTTGAAAAATAAATCTTAAAACCTTGGTGCTAAGGGCAGTAACTCTGCTTAGCAAATAATCGTTGAGTGTCAATGATTGTAGTTAGGGTACATCCTTAGGACTAGGTCAACAACCCAAGAAAGTTTGACCTCTGATCGGTAGAGTATGTGTATTTACAAGATTTTTTAACAGACGGGTGGATGGACAGACAAGGGTAACAACAATATACATCACTGGTAATCTGATACCGTTGACTAATGAAGCTAGGCCTTTTAGTAATGACATTTTTTGTCATAAAATCATATAAGTGGTCAGTATTCTAAACTAATGTTTAGTATGTACAGAAAGTGGTTAGAATTAATACAGTTGTCATTAATTAGCAGGTGTGTAACTAGCTGTAAAAAATGTGACTATTTATAACACCCATCACTATTGAATACACAAACCTGGACAATAGTGGTGTATATCATTCAATAGTCACCTACTAAATGACTACTGCCTGATTACTAACAATTTTAACTAACTAATACACATTATGTATATAAACTGACGCCTTTGATGTATTAGTGTTGTATATTTCCATTTATAACAGTTATTTTTTGCTTAGTCAACAATATCAACGTTACAAATAGAAGCTAGGGATTGTTTGTTAATGGAAGACGGAGCTTCAATACCTGAATTGCCTTATCTCTCACATGTTTTTATGGACCAGGGGCCTGTTTCACGAAATTTTAACGGAGATAAAAATCCAAATTTAAGTAATTTGATTGGATAATATTAGATTGATTTTAGTGCTTAGCCAATCAAAATTGAAGTATCTACTAAAATTTGGATTTTATCTTTAGTTAAAATTTCGAGAAAGAGGGTCCTGACCTGAGTTTGACCTAATTACAGCCATCTTGGAGTTGTGAGGTAACACCAAAAATAGATACAATTGTCAAAAGAACCAGCATGCCGAGTTTGACGTTGATTGTGAGTGAAATGATGGAGTCTTAGTCGTTTTTCAAAAAGTGATGTCCCAAAGAACAAGACCATAGCGTTGCGGACATGTTCCCTGGTCCAAAAATAAATTTTCAACTGACCTTTTGAAATAGTTAGTGCTGGTGACCATTGACTTCGGAGTATATCAAGGCAGATACTACCATTACTGTTTATGTTCGGGTGGTATATTCTGGTTGTGAATGCAACCTATTGAGAAAAATATATATTATTATTATTCAAAATCCCTGTACATTACAGGTTTGGAGTATAAGTTTGAGAGAGAGAAATGGGGTTTAACCTCCACTCGACACAAACTAGGTCATTTCGGGACTAACATATGGTTTAACTTTATTTCAATAATTCGCTTGCGCATAGGGGTCTTTAGCAGTGGGAGGAAACCGGAAGAGAGAGAGAGACAGAGTTTAACTCCACAGGACACGAACTAGAATCCCTGTACAGTACAAGTTCGGAGTATAAGCGTGTGTGAGAGAGAGAGATAAAGGGAGGTTCAACTCCACTCAACACAAACTAGGTCATTTCGGGACGAACATAGTTCAATTTTTATTTCAATAATTCGTTTGCGGTAGGGGTCTTTAGCAGTGAGAGGAAACCGGACAGCCGACCCTACTCCTAGTTAGTACAAAGGGGGAATCGAAACTACGCCAGTTAACTCAATGACAAGCCTTATGATACAGCGTGTCCGTGCTAACCATTCGGTCATCCAACCCCCCAGTAAGGTGTATAAGATTGAATTTGGTTTTAAGAAGAGCAACCAAGCATGCATATTCTAAATTTAGTATGATAAAAGACCAATTGATGCTAAATTATTTGGGGTTTTCAGTTCATGTTTTCGCATCGGAAGTCATAAGTGAGGATTTCTGTGTACAGCATGGAAGCCGACCACTGTCGTGTTAACTGGAAACGGTCCAATTAAATTTGCATTGGACAGAAATGACATGAAGTTTAAAGTCCTACTGTTTTGCTCCAAACTGGGCTAATGAAGACGGGCACTACAGCCCACTCTTATATCGAATTCTAACTGTCAAGGGATCTTTTACATGCATGCCAATGTGTACACGGGACCTCGGTTTTTTGTCTCGACCTTATGACTATATAGCTGTCCTTGTCAGGCCCTTCGTTCTACATCACTGACAAGGGGTGACGACCACACCGGAAAATCTGGATAAACTTTCTCGTCCAAAGCAGGGATTGAACACCTGACCTCCAGGCTAGCGAGCCAACGTCTTACCCACTTAGCCACCGTGACCCCCCTGCATTGGACAGAACCATGGAAAGTGTGCCTCCAAATCATAACTTCTTTAAGATTGTGCAGCCATGTTTTATTGTCAACAGAACGCAACTGAATAATAAATAATTTTCGTACCTTTGGTGGTTTGAAAGGATAATCTGTTGGAAAATGTATTGTGAGAAAAAATACACCCCCTTGAAATGGACTCTCCACCTGAAAATAAATAACATTTAAATAAAAAAACAACAAAAGTATTATCAAATCAATTAGATGAAACAAGTCATGCTTTCGATGGCCTACACTAAATGTAGATCTGACCGGTTTTACAAGCAGCTTTTGACCCTATGACGTCAGACATTGATTAATCAATCAGTGTTGACTTTTCTAGTGGTATATCCACAGTTCCTTGCATCGCAAGCCAAGAACTCAAGGTAACAGACCGTTTCATTGGCTAATCCCTCACATCAATCGAAACGCCGGTAATATAACAACTATTCCAGATCCTAAATGTAGTAAAGACAAGTAAAACAAAATTTTGAACTATAAAAAACAAAACGAAAAAAAGATCCGTGTTTTAATCAGACAGAGTCATGTGGCACAAAACTTGAACATTGGACAGAAGAAGTTGGTGATGCTAGGGACCAACTCCTTGATTGTAGGCCCTCAAGAGAACCAAGGTGTGTGTGCCAAATGAGGAAGCCAATGTGACAAACCATGCAAAGAACAAACCATTTAGCCATCTTACAGTGGACAAATGTGTGTAACAAAAACTCTGATAAATCAACAACAAGATTTTGTTGATTTTCTACAGAATTCAAGTTTGTTTATTCTAGCCAGTTTGGGCAACACATTATAATATATATAACATGCTTAAAGTTTGGACAGGGCACAAACTGGCATTTCTTTAAAATCTACAATTTCATATTTTTTAAGAAATTTAAAACATATTTATTTCTATTCTTTTGCTCAATAGGTTGTCAACTCACTATTATACGATCATAGGTCATCTTTCTCACACTTAAAAATCTTCACACCCAAAATAATAACACAATTACCTCCCTTGTTTTCCTATTCCCCACCATGGAATAGCTATCTTCAATCGTTTGAATTTGAAGTTGAAAATTATATTTTTGCAAATTTCTCAACTGGCAATAGTGAATTATTCTTAAACAAGGTAGGACTGTTTATAGATACCATCTATTTTAGGGCTTTATTTTAATACATTTTAAAAATATAACTTAGAAATATGAAATTGTAACTTTAAAACAAAAAGAAAGTAACTTTGGTGTCAATATCAATATTTTACTTTTCATAGGATTTACATTTTGGGGGACTGACATATAATTTTCATCTGAATATGGGTGGAATACAACCAGAGAAAATTTTGAATTAAAAAAAAAAAAAATATGTATCAAGTACAAGCGAAAACACAACACTTGATTTAATGACCAGTCTAATTAAAATACAGATCGATATTTCGTTCCATTTTTTTTATACATTCGATGGCCTCGACTACATGAAGATCTGACCAGCTGCAGTGGAAGATTGCATCAGGGGTCATATGAGTAGCTTTGACTCTATGACATCACCCAGAACGTGGCTTACATGTATATTATAAAATAACTCTTCCAGATCCTCCTAGTATAGTAAAACGTAATTTTGAACTATAAAAAACGAAATAGGATCTGTGTTTTAATCAGATTGTTCAATGACAGACCTTATGGTCTAACGAACACACGTTAAACAATTCCGCCGCCAAAACTCCCAAGATTCTGATTGTATAAATTTCTGTTCAAGATGAATGTATATAGTGCACTCTGTCACATACGACCTCTGATCACTCCGACACCATTTTCATGTCCCGATTTATTTCCTTATTACCTAGCCAAAAAATCTCTGGGTAATTCGAACTCTTTACATTCCAGATTACGACATCAATCAGCCATCTCGTCATACGATTTCCATTGAATCGACACCGTATAATCCGGCCTTCAATCGGTGGGTGTGAAGCAAACACTTACCGATCAATTATCCGTGAGATTAAAACTGGATGGGTGTGAAGCCACAAAAGATTAACAAGCAATCCCCAATCAATTATCTGTGAGATTAAAACTTGCTACTGTGGGTCTTTGTTGATTACTTTGATAATTTCAATCTCTTGTACGACAGTTGCGACAAATACTCAAAAATATCCACAAATTTTCCCCCTAATTCACAGTCGTAAAAATATTCCTAGCACCTGTTGGAAACCTTCGTTGCGCATGCCGATTGAACCTGAATAACCTATAAGTTTGGTCACCCTATGGATCTCTTCCAACCATGTGACAACGACCTTGGGATGCTCGATTCACAGTCCGGACCATCCCGAATTGACAGAATTGCAATCGAGTGACGCAGAATTCAGTCCTGTCACAGTTCTGTCAGTCCCGACAACGGAGGTGGTGTGAGTAGAATTGTGACGTAATTAAACACGACGAACAGGTTTCGGCTGCATGGTTGGATGAGATATTTATATATCCAGTCGACGCTGCGTTGTAGCCCGAAGTACCCATTTTCACTCAATTGTCACTATTTTTGGGATTGAGAGAATTCAATTCCGGAATGCCCATTATCAATGAACACGTGATAGCAAAGACAAGAGTGCGATCAACTGAAGACGGCAAAGAAGATAAATTAACGACAGACATGACCTATTCAAAATGCCTACCCATGTTAAATGAAATAAAAATTAATGTAATAAAATTTTGAATGTACAGAAAGGTTTATCATTTTTAAAGGGAATAACATTCTGGTGATTCGAAGTTCTATGTTCGAAGCTACATTATAATAATACTTCCGGCTTTCGAAGTTACAATATTTCCGGTTTTGAGAAAACTGGGTATTCCGACACTCTGCGTAATCCGACATATTGTAACGATCCTGTACGATGTCGGATGTGACAGAGTGCACTGTAGATGGTTATTTTGTATATTGATTAACACACACCCTATTTCGTTTCATTTTTTATAGTACAAAATTTCGTTTTACTTGTCTTAACTACATTACTACACTAGGACTTGGAAAAGTTGTTCCATGTATATAACCCACATTCTGCATGAAGTGAGGGATTAGCCAATGAAACGATCCGTTACATCGTAGGGTCAAAAGCAGCTCATATGACCTCTTGACGTGACCTTCAACTACAACCAGTCAGATCTTCATGTGGTAGAGGCCATCAATACAAAAAAACAAATGGAAATATAGATTTGTAATTTAATCTGATTGGTTATTTTGTTGTCTTACTATAAAACGAAATTAATGACATCATATTTAATATAGAGACAGAAAGAGAAATGGGGTTTAACGTCCACTCGACACAAACTAGGTAATTTTGGGACGAACATATGGTTCAATTTTATTCCAATAATTCGCTTGCGCGTAGGGGTCTTTAGCAGTGGGAGGAAACTGGAGGACCGGGAGAAAAGCCACGAGGCTGGACAGACGACCCTACTCCTTGTCACGTTCAACCGGGGATTCGAAACCATGCCAGTTGACTCAATGACAGGCCTTACGATACAGCCACAAGTGCTAACTAATCGGCCATCCAATCCCCCACATTATATGTAATATACTTACAGGACCCATAATTGTTGCTTGCCAATGAAAAACTGAAATACAAAAAGATATAACATTATACACATGGAACGAAATGAAAATGAAACGGGGTTTAACGTCCTACTGTTCTGCTCCAACTGGGCTAATGAAGACGGACGTGCGCCATACAGTGTGCTGAGGGCACTATGGCCTACTCATATATTGAATTGCAACTATCAAGGGATCTTTTACATGCATGCCAATGTATACACGGGACCTCGGTTTTCCGTCCCATCCAAACGACTAATAAGCTGTCCTGCATCACTGACATGGGGTAACCACGTCGGAAAATCACGATGAGCTTTCTCGGCCAATGCAGGGATCGATCACCAGACCTCCAGGCTAGCGAGCCAGCGTATTCCCACTTAGCCACCATGGCTCCCATACACATTAAACAAGCCAACACCTCCATTGTAACACTTGTTATATCTCCACTTAACCTGGGCAGAAAATAGTCATTACCGATCTGTTTTCATCTGTTTCATTAAATTTGCCTAATTAGTCCAAGACAATAATGCTGCAAAAAATCTTACATGAAAAACGGAACTCATTATAAAAATTGAATGGTCAGCTTTAAAATGGACACAGTACAAATTAAATGATTTTTGGTGATTTTAAACTTTTTAAACAAAAATTTGATATTAAACATATGTGAAAGAAATTAGTGCTAGATACACAAGATTAAATGATACATGTACCTGGATTACAGTGATATAGGTTACCAGGCAACGAAACATACGCCTACAGCAGCTAAATTGATCGAGGCAATGGGAGCTTTAACAAGACACTGATACATGTATCAATTTCATACAGATCGAATGATAACTTTTGTCGTTCAACAAAGTGATATAAATGAATACAGTAGAATCTGTATGAGAAGCCACTCCTATTCAGCGACTTCTCCTTGTAAGCGGTCACGATAAATTCCCCACCATAAAAATTCTATTGTTTCATCTCTTTATTCAAAGGTCACTCCTCTAACGCGGCCAGCGGTCATTATTTTACTAATAAATTTAACAAAACATCGCCCATTCAACGGCCAATGTTGAATGATACCATCTTGTCGTTCTTCGTAACACCTCCGCTAATCCCGTGAGTAGTAGTTAATTAACTCGACCCCCACTGATCAGGTAAAAAATGTGAAAATAACAATAAACCCGAGATTATATGTTAATTAATCTTTTGTTTTATTAAACGACTAACCTGATCATTGTTTTCACGCGTAACGAAACATTATTTGATACTGATTGAACAAAATAAAAGTATCGACGAAGGCGAGTTTTGTCACGATCATCTAGTATCTCTTTTCCATTGCCACTTTGTTGTTAAACAGACATTTTAGCTCCTCCTATAATATTACATAGAGAGCTATACCCCCTGTAATTAGGTGATATAATCAGCGATGTTTTTTGTTCATATGCTTTTTTTGATAAAATAAAATTAATTTATCGCTTTTCTTCACAAATATGGATAAATATTATCGAATGCATCACAATGGTAGACAGTAGTATCGAAGGTCGGTACAAAATGACAAGTTTACAGAAGTTACGCCCGAGATTTGAGTAAAAAATTTTCGTTCGGTGCAAGATTCAGCGACGGTCAAATTTACCGATGCAAGTATTGATGTTTGCTTCCAATGCATCCAAGCGTAATATTTAATTGATGTCAGCACAAAATATGGAGATGAGGCAATCAAATTAGGTAACAGTGTGGGTAAAAATGAAGGGAAGTATTATAGAGTTTGTAATAATTTGACCTTTTTATTGTGATGTCGTGACAAACAGCTTATAACTACTTAGGGCTTTGTAATCATCGCTTTGATCAGTGCCTGTTACATGTAATTTCTATATTTATGGCTTCTTTTTACTGTATATAAATACTTTATGTTTTACATATATGTTATCATTTGCTTGATAAAGACGACAGTATCATCGTCGAAATGTTGCATGTTAATAAACCAGTGATTGTTATCTATAAATAGTATTAGTGTGTTACTGTTCAATTACTAAATGCCACTTAAAGCGAGAATTTCATATTTTCTAAGAAAGTCAAAACATAATTATTTCTATGTCTTTTGCTCAATAGGTTGTCAACTCACTATTATACGATCATAGGTATCATTCTCACACTTAAAAATCATTCACCCTGGAAATAATAACACAATTACCTCCCTTGTTTTTCTATTCCCCCCATAGCTATCTTCAAACGTTTGAATTTGAAGTTGAAAATGATATTTTTGCAAATTTCTCAACTGGCAATAGTGAAATAGGATTAATCTTTAACAAGGAAGGACTGTTTATAGATACATGTACCATCTATTTAATACATTTTAAAAATATAACTTAAAAATATGAAATTATCGCTTTAAAGAATTTCACTAATGTAAACAAATTTTAAAATTTCAGGATCATCTGATAATAAATGTAGTCTGTAGAGTGTTCACAACAAAGGGCCATAACTGTAGACTTCTTCATTTCACTAATGTAAACAAATTTTAAAATTTCAGAATCATCTGATAATAAATGTAGTCTGTAGAGTGTTCACAACAAACGGAGGACAGACGGATGGACAGGGGCGATGGCAATATTTGACCATATTTCCATGTGGGCGTATCAAAAATAATTTAAGGATTTAAATTGTGTAAATGTATAAATATCATCAATGACATAATAACAGGAAGTCCCTAGTTAACGAGTCGTTAAAAGTTAACGGAGCTTTGAGCAACCGGCCCACTAGTTTTTATGGAAATGAAATGAAATGGGGTTTAACGTCCTACTGTTCTGCTCCTAAACTGGGCTAATGAAGACGGGCTTACGCCATACAGTCTGCTATGAGGGAAATTTTGCCCGGGTAGCGGCGCTACGGCCTACTCTTATATCGAATTCAAACTGCCAAGGGATCTTGTACGCGCACGCCAATATGTACACGGGACCTCGGTTTTTCGTCCCATTCGAACGACTAGACAGCTGTCCTTGTCAGACCCTCCGTCCTGCACCACTGACAAGGGGAAACCAAGCGGGAAAATCTGGACGAACTTTCTCAGTCAATGCAGGGATCGAACACCCGACCTCCAGGCTAAGTTTTTATGGAAACTTCGCCATTCGTCTCGTTGATGTTTCCACATTACGGTCATCTTTTTCATGATCAAAACTTTTAGCACTTGAAGAATTTTTTAGATTATCAGAGAAAAGGACATTGCTTTTATGACATAATGTGATTGGTTGATGTGGAGTTTATACGCTATTCCAGCCACTGTTGAGACTGGTTATTTGTGAGAAGTTGAGTGACATGAGATTCTACTTACGATCATCTCCTACTGGTCCTGCCGAACATTGTGCAGGTGGATCTCTACCTAAATCAGTTAATTCCTGAAAAATACACAGATATATAAATATAGACAGAGAGAGAGAGAGAGAGACAGAAATGGGGTTTAACGTCCACTCGACACAAATTAGGTTATTTCAGGACTAACATATGTTTTTAATTTTATTTCAATAATTTGCTTGCTCGTAGGGGTCTTTAGCAGTGGGAGGAAACCGGAGGACACAGAGAAAACCCACGAGGTTGGACAGGCGACCCTACTCCTTGTCACGTACAAACAGGGATTTGAAACCACGCCAGTTGACTCAATGACAGGCCTTATGTAAATATAGACAATTAGGAGATATAAGCAGGGCTCTCGGTAATTTTTCACAGATGATTAGCAGCACTGCTAAGTAAAAAGTCCAATTTTGCCAAATTTGATTAGCACATTTTAAATTGATTAGCAGTTTTTCAGTTTCAACGTAATACACTTAAATAACAAGATTATTTTAATTTTAATTTATAACAAATGATTAGATTTCATTCTTAAGATTTTTTTTAGAATTTAAGCACTGCTACAGGTAGATGTGAACATTTCTGAATGTAGACTTTTGGTTAGGCCTTATGTCTGAAGCCAATTCTTGGCAGTGGCTTCCGAAGTCCCACTCATTTTAATTCTTTTTTCTTCGTTAGAAAACAATTTCGTCTGCTTTTTATCGTGTGTTACTATTTTTGTTCAATCGGACCAGGGCTGTCGGTAATTTTTCACAGTTGATTAGCAGCACTGCTAATCAAAAAGTCCAATTTCGCCAAATTTGATTAGCAAATTTAAAAATTGATTAGCAGTTTTTCAGTTTCAATGTAAAACACCTAAATAACAAGATATTACTTTAATGTTTTACGGGAATTTTTACTTTGATTTATCATTTTACAATACGTTAACATGTATTTATTTTTTTATATTTTATTTACAATATGTGGGGGATACATTGGATTTATTTCTTTCAAAATGAATATGATATAATTACTTGATGTCTCGCAACGTGAGTGGTACTACTTGATTCCCTATTTCCAGTTTAATAGTCCCTATTCATCGAGTTATGTGTTATATAGTATTGTGTCTGGTAGTTCGAGAAGAAAATGTCACACGGAGAATTCAGTTTTGTTCATAAAATTTTATTCAACATTTTATACACGTTGAAAGTGTTGAGTAAGCCTTCTAGTCTTCAAAATGTGGATTATTCTTGTGTCAATATCCAAAATGACAGGCATATTGATGATTCGCAGTAACTGCGAATCAAAAACGTTAGATTTTAATTTTTGGTTAGCAACGGACAAAATATGTATCGCAAATTGCGCTGCGATACTGGTTGTCGGCAGCCCTGAATCGGACGCACACGGTATTTTACGAATAATCTCTATTAACTACGAATAAACAATATTATTTTACAGGAATTCTTACTTTGATTTCTCATTTTACAATACGTTTACACATATTTATTTTTTATATTTTATTTACAATACGTGGGGGATACACTGAATTTATTTTTTTCAAATTGAACACTCGATATAATTACTCAAAATTGACATGTCTCGCAACATGAGTGGTACTACTTGATTCCCTATGTCCATGTAATATATAGTATAATGAATTGAGTCTGGGCAGTTCAAAGAAAATGTCACACAGAGAATTCAGTTTTGTTTATAAAATTTATTTGATATTTTATACACGTTGAAAGTGTTGAGAAATGTGGATAAATCTTTGTGTCAATATCCAAAATGACAGGCATATTAATGATTTGCAGTTACTGCAAATCAAACACATTAGATTTTAATTTTTGATTAGCAGCGTACAAAATATGAAATATGTATCGCAAATTGCGCTGCGATACTGGTTGTCTGCAGACCTGGATATAAACTTCCTGTTTTGAAACCATTTGCTTAAACATACATTATGCAAGAGCTACATTGTAAATCTGCATATTGCAGGTCTTTCTTTAGGCCTGAAATGTTATCTAAATTAATAATGAGACATTAATTAACTTATCCAGACCACAATCAACTCTTGGTTTCAACGCTAGCATTTACTGTATTGTGATCTGATTTGCTGCTCAACTTTCATTCATGATTTAATCATGAAATGGATAATCGAGACTATGTTTTTTAGTAATGATGATCGAGGCTATGCCGAAATTTCAATTGCTTAATTCTCGGTTCATAATGGAACAATTTGACTGAAATTTTCGGCAAATTGCCTTTACATTATCTAGTTTTTAAGTCTTATAGTGAGAACTACCAGCTCGTTATCTAATCTATCTTTATCTAATGTATCTTTTACTCATTACAACTGAAGAGAGGGAGTGAGTTTCAAGTCCTAAGTTTGGCTAGTCAATTTGTTTGTGACCAGGAGTAGGGGCACCTGCACAACCTCATGGTTACCCACCACATGCCCCATTCAAGAAAATAGATAGAAATGGGGTTTAACCCCTTAACTGCGCAGGATGTTATATAACGTCTTGGACAACTGCCACTCACCGTGTGTAGGACGTAATATAACGCCCTGGAGGTATTTTCCCCAACCTATTCTTCGAACACAATCTTACCATGCGGAAGACGTTATAATACGCCTGGTCGAGGAAATCTAATTGAAGGGAGACAACTCTATTTACTCTTAGTTTTATTATGGTTTAAGACCACTCAAATCTGTATTCAGAAAAAAGTAGGCCCAAAAATGATGTTTTTCGTCAAATTAATTACACAGTTAAGGGGTTAATGTCCACTTGACACAAACTAGGTCATTTCGGGACTAACATATGGTTTAATTTTATTTCAATAATTCGATTGCGCGTAGGCCGTAGAGGTCTTTAGCAGCGGGAGGAAACCGGAGGACCTGGAGAAAACACACAAGGTTGGACAGGCGACCCTACTCCTTGTCACCTACAACTGGGGATTTGAAACCACGCCAGATAACTCAATGACAGGTCTTATGATACAGCGCGCACGTGCTAACCATTCGGCCATCCAACCCCCCTAAACACAAAGAAAGTGTCCAACATGTCACATTTACCTCGTCAAAATACCTGTATTAAATGGGATGATCATTTTGATTTTTTGCTACAGCTGATAAAAGGAATCTTTAGGTGAAATGATTTAGTAGTCAAGCACCCTAATTGATGTCTGCTTACTTCCTGATCATAACAGAAAATCAAGAATATTCACCAAAACCTGACAGAATATTCACCAAAACCTGACAGAAACTTGTACAAACACTCTTCGTCCATACAAGAGTCAGCGGAGAAAGGAATAAGGAAAAACTGCTATTTGTGGTTACTTAGACAAGGAAAGTAATTACCAGTCTGAACCCTGTAGGAAATCGACAGCATTATGTCCCTTTGATAAATGGTTAAGTGAGATATGTCCTGTTTGACCTCATAATCATATATAGTGAAGATTAATTATCAAATACCAAGTGAGGATTAATAAGTTATAATCTACTGTTACATGTACAAATGTATAATAAAGACAGAGGTTAAAAGGTCAATAGATTATTCAAGACAGTGGCAACATGTACAATGTACATGTACACAGGAAAACCCCTTTTGACATGTCAACCCCACAAGCAATAACTGATTAACTCATAATAAAATAAAACTGCCTGTCTCTGATAAAAGAGAGAGGGAAATGGAGTTCAAAATCCACTCAACACAAACTAGGTCATTTTGGGACTAACACATGGTCCATTTTTATTTCAATAATTCGCTTGCGCGTAGGGGTCTTTAGCAGTGGGAGGAAATCGGAGGACTCAAAGAAAACCCATGAGGTTGGACAGGCGACAACTGGATAATCAAAACCACGCCAGTTGACTCAATGACAGACCTTATGATACAAGGTTCACGCATTAACCATTCAGCCAACCCCCACTGTCTCTTGATAAAAAGAGAGAAAGGAAGCCAGAAACTCAAGACTAAATGAAGTTCATTAGGGAACGAATCTTAAACATTGTATATTTATATTACAATAATTGAAATGCACACAGCCATTGTTAGAAATGGTGAAAAAAACTACAGGCTTACATGTATACAGGTGACCCTACTCCTTGGGCATACAAAACTAGGATCACACCTTGAAAAGTTGTTTTTTTATGATCAGTCAGGGATTCTTTAACATGCATGCCAAAATAGAACTTGGTTGCGATTTTTCGTGGAACTGTTATACCTAACCATTGGGGTTTATACCCCAACACCACAAACCCAGCACGTCAGAAAATATCGCGCCAGCAAATTACAGGTTTCAATTTTATTAAAATTGGCCTTATACTGAATAATCCAGTCTCTAATAGCTCTCGTTCACTGATATGTCGCGTGTCCGTGAACGGGAGTTATCACAGGCCTTTATTCTTGGTGTTTCGTATCCACAAAACTCTTCGGTGACTCTCTAATGTTGGTAGTATTGATTATCAAGACTGCCATTTAACATGTTTTAAATTGAGTTGTTCATATTTTTAAATTGCTTTTATGTGTAAATAACCATAGAATAAAACAAAATATTTAGTTGTCCTTAGTTTTGGTTTTATGTTTTACTATATTTTTCTGTCGACGTTGCCGCTATGAAATATAAAAATTAAATAAAAATTCCCGGTAGCGTGCCTGTTCGTTTCGTATTTCCTCGGACTTCTGAACTGGAAAACTAGGTCTCGCGTGAAATACATGTATGGAGATGTTTCGAACAATGAGACTCCTCATATGAAGTTTTCAATCTTTTCGCTGGGCTGGATATTCGCGATTCTCGTTGTTTAAATTCGTAACCAAAGATACGTCCACTTCTGCAAGAAACTTCGCGCGATGAGAATGTTCAATACCCGAATCAAATAGAAAAATTAATCATATTATATAATAATGCTAAAAGTTCAATTACACACATTTAAAAACCGGGGAGTTGAGTCGTAAGTTGGATATAGATCAGTACAATGTAATTGATAAACTAGGAAGTGAAATAGACGTCGTGTGGGAATTGTGACAATCAGTCGACCACTCAACTGAGATAATAAATATCTGGGAAAAGGGTAAACGATTGCTTGATAACAGCATACTTAAATCGAATATTCTCAAGCCTTGAAATAAGGCACCTGTCACAGAAAATGTCAGGCACAGATTCAGGCTTTGTCAGGCACAAAAACCTCTGGTGCCTGTCATTTTGTCCAGCACTAAGTTGATAATGTCAGGTGAAATGAAATGAAATGTGGTTTAACGTCCTACTGTTCTGCTCCTATACTGGGCTAATGAAGACGGGCATACGCCATACAGTGTGCTATGAGGGAAATTTTGCCCGGGCAGCGGCACTATCGCCTACTCTTATATCGAATTCCAACTGCCAAGGGATCTTTTACGTGCATTCCAATGTATACACGGGACCTTGGTTTTTCGTCTCATCCGAATGACTAGACAGCTGTACTTGTCAGGCCCTCCGTTCTGCACCACTGACAAGGGGAAACCACGTTGGAAAAGAAAATGTCAGGTACTATTTCATTAGTGTCTGACATTTTGTCAGGTAGATCTAAAACTGTTATTTACAGGCCTGGGACTCTTAGTCTTGCTCTGTTTTTTTAAATCCTGAGTTTTTTTGAACCACAGATTATTGAATCAGCATGACATTGAATTTATACTTTGATCTCGAAATCTACATGAAGATCATGACTGTACAAAATGAAATATTGAAAAACTCAAATATTGAAAATACTGATCGATTGTAATTTTTATAAAAAAAATTTGATAGATCATTTCGATGTGATCTATCTATCACAGTGTTGACGTTATTTTTTTTATTGTGATATTTTTGACATAGTTTGATAGTATTGACGATATTTTTTACATTGTGATATTTTTGAAATTGTTTGATATTACTAACTTCATACATGTATATTTCATATCACAATATATCATATCGTTATACAGAACTATTGCCCAACCCAAACTGCATTAACACTAATAAAAATAAAATGGGGTTTAGCGTCCTACTGTTCTGCTAATGAAGATGGGCATATGCCATACAGTGTACTATGAGGGAAATTTTGCCCGGACAGTGGCAGTATGGGCTAGACTTATATTGATTTCCAACTGTCAAGGGATCTTTTACGTGCACATCAATGTGTACATGGGACCTCAGTTTTTTTATCAAATCCAAACAACTAGACAGCTGTCCTTGTCAGGCCCTCCGTCATGCATCACTGACAAGGGGGAACCACGCCGGAAAAAATCGAAATGAACTTTCTTGGCCAATGCAGGGATCGAACACCCAACCTCCAGATTAGCGAGCCAGCGTCTTACCCACTTAGCCACCGTGACAATATGTAAAAAGAGAGAGCGAGAAATGGGGTTTAACATCCACTTGACACAAACTAGGTCATTTCGGGACTAACACATGGTTCAATTTTATTTCAATCATTCGCTTTCGCGTAGGGGTCTTCAGCAGTGGGAGGAAACCGGAGGACCAGGAGAAAACCCACGAGGTCACGTACAACCGGGGAATCGAAACCCCGCCAGTTGACTCAATGACAGACCGTATGATACAGCGTGCGCGTGCTAACCATTCGTCCATCCAACGCCCCCAATATGTAAAAAAGAATATACATGTATGAAATGAAATGAGGTTTAACATCCTACTTTTCTGCTCCAACTAAGCTAATGAACACGGACAGGTGTACATCATACAGTGTGCTATGAGGGAAATTTTGCCCAGGCAGCACACATTGTATGTCCATGACTGGCAATCTGATTAAAACACAGGATCCTATTTTGTTTTGTTTTTTATAGTTCAAAATTTTGTTTTACTTGTCTTTACTACACTAGGATCTGGAAGAGTTGTAATATAACCTGCGTTCTGGATGATGTAAGGGATTAGCCAGTGAAACTTTGTTACGGTGAGTTTTTGGCGTGAGTTGCACAGAACATTGGGTAACCCACTAGAAACGTCAACGCTGATTAATCAATGTCTGACGTCATAGGGTTAAAAGCCACTCGTATGACCTCCCACTACAACTGTTCAGATCTTCATGTAGTAGAAGCATGGCAAGTTTTATGTCGATCATACTCGATTTGGGGCGTTTTCAGAACAGAATAAATCAAAGAAGAAAAAGATTACCAAATTGAGAGAAAGAGAGAGAGGGGTTTAATGTCCACTCAACACAAAATAGGTAATTTTGGGACTAACATATGGTTTGATTTTATTTCAATAATTCCCTTGCACATAGGGATTTTAACATTAGGAAGAAACAGAAGCAACCAGAGAAAAACCACAAGGTTTAATAGACAACCCTACTCTTTGTCATGCACAAGCGGGGAATCAAAACCATGCCACTTACCTCCTCAAAGACAGCCCTTAATGATTTAATATGCACACGTTATTGCGTTAAACCACCCCCAACCCCTGAAACAAGTATAGGGAGTGGAACCAGTTGCTTGGAACTAATTGCTGACTAAGAAATACACCCACGACTGCTTACAGACAAGTTTTTGAAAGACAGCAACTAGCCTCTGACAGTTTTTAGGAAGTCGCACAATGTTCCACTCCTGCGACTGCTTACTTACAGTTTTCAACTGAGCTGTCGTGTGAGGAGGGCCATTTTGATGGATCATGTGAACAACTGATCAGCCATGCCGCTGATGATGTCAGCAGAGCTGTGATCCCAAACTATAGGGTTTTCATCTCTAATGTAAGCGACAATTAAGCTATCGGTTTATACTGGTTTCACAGACATTTTTGTTGTGTCTTAGACCGACATAAGCTTGACTTAATAAATAAATTGAAGGACATCAAACCATGGCAGTTGGCTCAATGACAGACTTTACTTTATGATACAGCACGCATGTGCTAACCATTCGACCATTCAACACCTCATGTCTTGAACAATACCGGTACCTGGTTTTGTGAAGTATGTGGCGTACTGTAATTAATAAGTTAAACAAGTACGCGACCCTATTTTTTCTAACCTCTTCTGTAAACCTGATGTGATCAATGGTTTGTTTACAGTCACTAAGATGAATTTATAAAGAAATAAAAATTTGACAGATACAAGAGATAATAATGATGTCTATATTTTATCGAAATATCATATTGTGATTACAATGTGAAATCGATTTAAATTTAAGCAACTGGGCATTACACAAAGACTAGTTACATGAGTGTTAGAATTATTTAATTAAAACATTGCTTAGTTTTTGATGGCGATAAAGGTTCATTATGAAGGAAAAAAAAAGTCAATGGTTATATTTCCTGCTTATTACATGCCTTTTCTCATTCATACATGTAATCTCCAACCATTAGAAACATGGATCATAATTTATTTATGTTCATCAATAATAAGTCAATACAAAAGTCAATACAAACTGATATCTGATCAAATAATATATCTTAAAAAATGGGGAAAAAGCTGAACTGATCGAAATACTAGAAAATCTAATAAGATCCGTTAATGAACGATATGAAAGTCGAAATAGGCCTACCCATTTTGACGACTAAAACCAGTTCACCGATTTCGACTCGAGGGGGGACTACACACATTTCCACACCATTATTTACGTCACCGTTCGACTTTTGTTCTCGATCTAGGTTCAAGTTTGGAGGAATATTATTTAATTAAATGAAAAACCAACCTTTTGAATTCGTTTTAAAGCCATGGCCTGAGGTGTGTTTTGTTCTGAGATGTAAGAAAATGTCGGATCTTCTGTTCGTGTAAAATGAAATGATCTTTCTCCCAAATCCTAACTGAGCATGCGCCAAATCTAAATTCCGTTTATATATTATCTCCCTTTGGTTGGTGACTCACTTGACGAAAACAGCAACGTACATTACACTGCAAATGTCAAAAACGGGCATTTTAGCCATACTAATTTTATGCATGTGTTAAGATTTTGAAATAATACAAAAAACTCTTGAACAACATCTTAAAATGACAATTTAATTAGCTTCTAAAAGATTCCAATCACAAAATATCCAATACTAACGTCAGATATTTGAGAAACGACATGCCCATTCATGATTAAGTGCTTAAGTTCAAATAAAAAATATTTTAACTATCTTGCAACGTTTTTGAATTATTTTAAGTGTAGCCTACTTATATTTCTGCTCTTAGAAATTAGTTCAATCTATCTGAAATGTAGATCGAAGTGTGTTCAATTAGATAATGTTTTACAATGGATGATACATCAACTCTCGTTGAAATTAGTTCAATCTTCTTCAATAGGTTGACAAGTTTTAATATGCATAAAATTAATGTAAAACCTTAGAAGAAATATTGTTACTGACACGGACATAAAGTTTATAAAACAATGATATGCCTAGGCCTATCAATAGATTAAAATTTAATGGGTTTTTCTTTTCAGTTGGAGAGACAAAGTCGTTTTAATTTAAAAGCTGGAATCCATATTTTGTTCGGAATATAAAACTGATTTTTATTCTCGCAAAATATTTGAGGCCTAATGTAATATCCTTGAACAATGTGGGTTATGGGGGTCGCTAACTTGAATGAAGCCATGGGGACCCTAATATTTAAGGAGCCCCCCCCCCCCCAACCAAAAAAAAAAGGAAAAAAATAGTTAACGAAAGTTACTTGCGTATAGGCCTATTAAATAAATTCTATGCCTACACAGACGAGATGAGCGAGAAATGGCAGGGGCGGGTAAGCGACGGAGGGTACGAGGGACAGGCTACCAAATTAGTTAAAAGAGCTAGTAGTTCTCACTAATAGTTAAAAACTAGATAATGTAAAGGGAATTTGATGAAAATTACAGTCAAATTAATCCACCCTGAAACGAGTATTTAGCAATCGAATTTTGCGCCTAGCCTTGAACATCATTACTAAAGTGTGTACGGTAAAAAAAAAACATAGTCTCGATTATCCATTTTTTGATTTAATCAGAAGCAGAAGACCGGGTTCTAATCCAGTAAATATCACAGGCTAGCGATGCCATCGAGAGTTGATTATGGTCTGGATAAGTTAATTAATATCTAAATAATAATTTAGATAACATTTCGGACCTAAAGAAAGACCCCAATTGGCAGATTTAGCTCTTGCATAATGTATGTTTAATATGATTAATACAATGACGTCATTATTAATGTGACGTCATAATGTATGTTTGACAAAAAAAAAAAAAAAAGAAAGATGCGTATATTAAATAAATTCCATACCTACACTGACGAGATGAGCGAGAGGTGACAGGTGCGAATTAGCGCCAGAGGGTACGAGAGGCTTACCCCAGAAAGTTTTAAAAAATTACTTAGCCGTAGATGTTATTTAGAGCACTTTTCTGTTGGTTTAGATACAAGCTGGAAACGATGATTTCGTTGCCCAAATATAACAAAAAAATAAAATAAAATAATAATAAATAAATAATTTGGGTTTGATGTCCTCCATATCTCATATCTTCACCAACTAGATCAGGGGATTTCAATTCAGGGGCCACATGAAATCAAGTGGGCCGGAGATATACAAAATTATCAAGATAAAGAAAATTTCATTGCTTTATTTAAATAAAATCGTTCATATAATGCAATACAATAATTTAAAATGGAACAAGTTAGCCATTTTTATTTCTCAATTTTACATTGAATTCTTTTAGAAACAACCACAAAAACATTATTAACATTCAGAAACTTATGATTTCAACCGTTACTTTCTGAGAATTATGGACACGTCAGTTTGTTGAAATTTGTTCGATGGGCCACATATTCGATCCCACACTGATCAGAAGTGAATATTCGCTAGGCCGCTACAATCACTGATAGGGATGTCATCGATGCTACTTAAAGAACCCCAAATATTAACCTTTTTCCTCCGACAAATTAAATTCTAAACGTGATTGTACGAAAATCACGTTTCTAGCTTGTGGACACTGTGGAGGTCACAAGTTTCATCTGGTTATGTATGTTTATATTCGCGCATATCGGATCGTAACTTCCTAAATTATGGCTCTTGATTGTACAAAAAATCGCGGTTTTAGCTGGTGGTCACTCTAGAGGTGACAATTTTTATCCGATTTAAAAAAAAAAGTCTGAATATATCATCGTTACACCCTAATGATGGTTGAGTTCGAATTTCGTAAAAACTGCCCGACAAAATGACCGCTCCTTGCACGCAAATGGTGTACAAGTATGTAATACGAAGGTTGTGGACCCTATAGAGGTCACATTTTTTGTCCGATTTTGATGAAACTTAAAATATATCCTTATATCCCAAAGATCTCAGTCCCTTTCGATATTCGCGCATTTCAGGCCATAACTTCTTGGATTATGGCCCCTGATCGTATGAAAAAACGTAGTTGTATTCCTTAGCTTGTTCTCTATCCATCTCTTGCAAAATGTGGGCGTATCTTGCCTGGCATTGGCCTCTTTTAAAAAATTCGCCAAGACAATTTGTTCACCGGTCTAAAACCTTCTTAACATAACTGCTGTTATCTCCCCTGGTTCGTATTCGGATCAATGAAATAAAGTCGATGTGATATAAGCCCAACAACATGTAGGTTAAATCTGGTTAAAGATTTTAAGATACAATGATAAAAAATACTTTCAGCAAGATAAAGTTATCTAGAATGAATAATTGGACATTTTGTAATTTTATGATATCACCTACCAAATCGTCTTCTTGCACAGCGGGGTTATGGCCTTATGGGTAGCACGTGTAGGCCTACACTGTATCATAAGGTCTGTCATTGAGTCGCCTGTCCAATCTCGTGGGTTTTCTCCGGGTCCTCCGGTTTTCTTCCACTGCGAATTATTGAAATAATGACCTAGTTTGTGTCGCCTGGTTTATCCGACCAGAGTGGAAAGCGTCAAACGAATAGACTCGCGAACATCGACGAAGCCCCCACATGAGCGCCAAAGTAGAGAGTCTCCTCCACAAAACTTTGAAAAATAAAGTCTGACAGTATTAAGGCATCGATTGTCGAGATAAATAGAGTTTACGTGGGCCCTGTTTTTCGAAATCTTAACTGAAGATAAAATCCAAATTTTAGTAGATACTTCAATTTTGATTGGCTAAGCAATAAAATCAATCTAATATTATCCAATTAAATTACTAAAATTTGGATTTTATCTTAGTTAAAATTACGTGAAACAGGCCCCAGATATCGCCTGTCGCTAGTTTATCCGACCAGAGAGGAAAGTGTCAAACGAACGGACATGTGAACCTCAACGGGGTCCCCGAAAATTTGAAAAATAGACTGACGCAAATGCAGTCTGGAAGTATTTCAGACACTGGTCGTCGAGATAAATAGAGCTGACCATCTGTCTAGTTGGCGTATCACTAGTTTATTAGACCAGAGAGGGAGGTGTCAAACGAACGGAGTGAGTGAATCAAAGTGAATGAATATTCTTGCCGCTTTCAACCTATACCCCAAAACTTAAGGATCGTAAAAGCACTTCTCAAGTGGTTCACCTGTTATTTAGTAGGTTTACAGCCGGATGGGTTCGGTAAGAAATCACTCGGACTCTACAACATACAAGTTTATGACTGAGTGGGAATGTGGGATTTAATCACCGTGAAAATATTGATTACCGAAACATATCACAAATATTTTCATGTTTCGGAGTTTCGATCGAAACACGTATTGTTTCTGTAAGTGTTTTACGGATGGGTCAAAAAATAATCTCAGATTCGCCATATCTCGGTTATTGATCGACGGATCTTTGTCGTTTTTTCATTTTTGACCTCGCAAAAGTTCCAAGAGAATTTCCACTACAGGGTTGCACTGTGGAGAGCCCGAAAGTAAAAACACGTCATAATCCTTCGGATAGGACGTAGAGAGAGAGAGAAAAATAAATGGGGTTTAACGTCCACTCGACACAAACTAGGTCATTTCGGGACTAACATATGGTTTAATTTTATTTACATAATTCGCTTGCGCGTAGGGGTCTTTAGCAGTGGGAGGTCGGATAGGACGTACATTAGACGTTCACCTGTGCACTCGACTACTAGCCTAGTGCTACTGGTTGACGTGAACGAAACCCTTGGCAATTGAAATTTGAAGAACCGTATGTGAAAACGCGTGCAAAATTATATGTCTTCCATAGTAAAAAGAGTGGGAGTGGATGGCCGAAAGGTCAACGCGTTGTATCATATGGTCTGTAATTGAGTCAAGTGGCATGGTTTCGATCCCCCGCTTGGTACGTGACAAGGAGTAGGGTCGCCTTTCCAACTTCGTGGGTTTTCTCCGGGTCCTCCGGTTTCCTCCCACTGCTAAAGACCCCTACGCGTAAGCGAATTAATAAAATAAACCATTAGTCAGTGCCGAAATGACATAGTTTGTGTCAAGTGGACGTTAAACCCCACATCTCTCCCTATACTGGGCTAATGAAGACGGGCATACGCCATACAGTGTGCTATGAGGGAAATTTTCCCCGGTCAGCGCACTATGGCCTACTCTTATATCGAAGTCCAACTGCCAAGAGATCTTTACGTACACAATATTATATAGGCCTACACGGGGCCTCGGTTTTTCGTCCCATCCGAACGACTAGACTGTTGTCTTTGTCAGGTCCTTCATCCTGCAACACTGACAAGGGGAAACCACGTCGGAAAATCCCGATGAACTTTCTAGGCCACTGCAGGATCGAACACGCGACCTCCAGGATAAGACCAAATGATAACCTTACTATTAGCTATATTGTCTATATACTTTAAGAAATAAATTCTGTATATCCTTAAAATAAAATTTGAAAAAGAAGTAGAATTTAGTATCACTATTCGGTGATAATAGCCCCTCAAAAGTATGTTAATAGCTAAAATTTCTTTTTTAGATTGTAAGAAAAACTGTTTTGTTTGTAACATTATTATATATATCGTATACGTGTATAAATAAATTTAAAAATTATGTTTTTAGTGAATTCATTAAATATGTAGGAAAATTCAGTTAATATTTTCTATAAAATTCAGACCTTTATAAATGGTCTCAGCATTTTGCCAATTTCAAATGTGCTACCGGTATTTTAAAAAGATATGTATGCACACTGAAATTTCAAGGTAAACATATTTAAAAATCATCTGAATGGGTGTCTGTTTCTAAGCCCTCTTTTAATATTGAATACATTATCATATTCATTCAAATTCAGTTATATATAGTAAATAATTGAAAGTAGGCTCAATAGCTAAAATATGTATAATGCTTCGTCATACTTTCAAGCCAGATATAGTGTGTTTAGATTTTTTATGCAAGTTAAATATTGGTTGTATTGACATTATAAAATTTCCATGAATGTAAGTCTAAATATCGGATAGTGACGCTGGTATTTTTGCCTTCTAACAATATTTATTTAATCAGTATTACATAATCTAAAGATACATAATTACTGGATCTGAAAACTGTTAGGATTATGTTGAATATATTAATACCCCTTTAAACTCCTCAATTTCTTTATGAAGATGTAAATACCCCTTTAAACCCTGTACTTTCTTTTGTAGGCCTCTGAATATAAGATGAGCTCTACCCTGCTACAACCCTCCATGAATAAAAGACTTTATTGCAAGTCAAAAGACTTTACTGTCAGTAATTTCGGACGGAGGGCCTGGCAAGGACATTGTCAATTCGATTCGTTGGAGTACATGTAAAAGAATCCTTGACAGAAATCGAAATAGGAGTAGGTAATTACCCTGCTGTTTGGGCAGCCAAACCATGCAGAAAAATAGGAGATAAACCCTATCTGTTAAAAGATGTAGCCCCTATCGTGTTTGGAGAAGGAGGGGGGGGGGGATTCAGGAACACCACATTTGATATAAATCTGTTGAAAAACTGTAGCCTCTATTGCTTTTCGGAGGTTTTCAGGGGTTAACTCCGGAACAGAGTTTTGTGCAGCACTGATTATTGATGGAGTTCGTCCTCCCATGAACGTACAATCAGGGGTAATAATCCAGAAATTTGGGGTTCGACATGTGTCCGAGTTATTTGGGAGATAAACATGTATTGTGGGCTTCATCTAGATTGGATAAAAATTGTGACCTGTAGAGTGTCCACAAACAAATGTGAACAATGGTAACAGCATGATACGAGTTGATTATTGGCTTGTCATGTGAATAAATGTCTAATTAATACTTTATATAACATATGTTCGTTAAAAAAGTATTAACATTAGTGTTACTTTGCTCTTATTTTTTGAAAAATTTTCACAAGTTGTTTTCCTTTATTTTGTTAATGTAGAATGGTAATGAACTGCTCTTTTCATTTTCTTTGTTTTATTTGTTTCGTTTGAATTTGATTTATCTGTTTAGTTTTTGATTGTTTAATTTTTGTTAATGAAGTTGATTCTTTTAAACTTCGTTTTTTATTTTTGAACTCTACTTGGTGTAGGTGTTCATCAGGTAATAATACCTCGACTGAGTTCAATATAGAGATTAGCCGGTTGATTTATTGGATATAAACCTTTGAATAATAGCGCCTAACAGGCAGCTGTGTTTAATTGTGTTTAATTATGTTCTCCTGATTTTGATTGTTTCTGTGTGTTTGAAGTAAATGTTTGTGATATGTGCTTAGAAACACTTCATGTGTAATGAAGCGCTATATAAATCGAACAATAATAGCGAGCTAGCGTCTTACCCACTTAGCCACCCTCTCTCTCTCTCTCTCTTCTGTTTTAGTAAGAGGATACAGAATAGATATAACAATAACATCTATACTATCTATATGCAGGGTTTCACAACCCCCACTGAACACAGCGTAGCTATCGAGGGCTCTCGATGCATGAATCTGGCCAATCTACAGCGACACAGTAGCTTCACGGATCGGTCGATTGCAAGTGGCTCGCTCAAACGCAGACATGTACGTATAGATCGTTGACAGGTTGAAAGCAGAAATAGTGATTATGAAACAGGGTTATTAAAGAAGACGGGTCGTTAAATTTGATTTTATGTTTGGAAAAGGAAAGTAAAGTTAATCATGAAAAGGTCTAATTCACGGGTATGTAAAACATTTCTATATTGTTTTTGCATTTGTTTGCCATGTGAACGGGTTATAAACTGTGCTGCTGTGACACTATGAAGTAGGTTAGTAATAGTAGGCCTCACTGTGAGTATTCAAAGTTCGGTTTAAGACATCAACTGTCTTGCATAATAATAACACTATTTCCTTCCATGTGCGTTGAGAGGATGTGTTATGCATGATGCATGTGCATAGCCCTAACTCAAACCAAACAGCTAATAACACCAATAACGGTTTACACATGTACAAGGTCAGCGAACTGTACAAGCACAATAAACAACGGTTAAGTGTATAAGGGACCGTCTCAAGAAACTCAAACAAACTCTTTCGACTGCTTGTACACGTGATTCTACGCGCGTTCAGAACTTGATACATCACGGTTTCCACGATCGCATAAACATACCCATATCAATTCTTCCAAATACAAAAACTAGAATTGGACATAATGGCAATGTTGAAAATCACTATTTTATAGTGAAGACCCATGGTAAAAAAATGTGACCTTTAAAATGAAATGAGGTGAAATCATATGGGATTTAATGTCCTACTGTACAAGTGCAATTCTTGTGTATTTTCTGGAATCTTCGTTGTTGATTAAAAGAAGACAAGAGACCGTTGATGGCTGTTAATATTTCTCTATATTCTTTTGGTAAACAGTAATCAACATAAATCCCAGCAGACAATAAATATAACAATTATTGGTACAATTTTAATGCTTAATAGTAAATAAGCTCCAATGTGGATATGCGGAATTGGCATAAACTTATTTTATGTCTCCAAATATCCAAATACAGGTAAATAAGGTCTGTCCTTAGGTATGTGATCTAAGTCGATCTCCCAAGACACGTGTGTAGCAAGCTTCCTTCTAATTCTGTCATTTTAGTCTATGTATCCCAATGTATCGCCTATAGGGCATGAATCCTATAAATCTATCGTCTATACAAACGATATACCCTGGTAACTAAACGCTATAGCCCGGTAGACGTTAATTATAATTTATAAGCTCAATTTAAAGTGTAAAACAAAGAATACTAGAGACGGGTGATTAATGAAATATATAAGACAATATATGAAGTAGATATAAATGGTGGGGAATTAAGGTGGATTAAGACCCATTAAAATATAGTTTACTGAATTAAGTAATACTGTGCGGATTAGCACGACGTATTAAACATTTACTATTGAGTCCAAATTCACCCTACTATACTACTGTTCTGCTCCGACTGGGCTAATGAAGACGGTCATATGCCATACAGTGTGCTATGAGGGAAATTGTGCCCGGAAAACGGCACTACGGCCTACTCTTATATCGAATTCCAGCTATCGAGGGATCTTTTTAGGGTCAGTGTAACTGAAAAGACGATATGACAAGTTTGACATCTGAACACAGAGAACGCACCATTGCGGTAATTCAAGTTGGTATCACGCACCAAGACTGACAACGGCCTGGGGCGGTCGCAAAGGAACTCAAATAGCAACTGACGGAGTCTAACGGCCCAACAATCAGCCTTATCGGGGCTTCTGTGCGGCCAAAAGCCGACAGAGGGAGCAAAGAATGTCCGACACGGTCGGCTCCGACAGACCAAGACCAAGACCAAGACTTCGTATATAGGTCGCATAGACATCCTATCCGACCCAAGGTCGACAGGCCATTTTTCTGTCGGACACAAAACCACCTCTACTATTGGTCCGATGGCGAGTGGGTGCGGACGGACGCGTTTCTTGAGGAATTTGACAAATTTCACGGCCCATTGAGAGTGTTCCGACCCCGAGTGAAACTATTTGAGAACTTTACGAATGAACAGTTTTTTTTTTTCGTAAATACTGATTTTCCAAGCCAATATTCGGAAAGTTGTTTCAAGCCGACAACGGGCGCATAGAACGATCATAAATTTTCACTTCCTCATATCTTTGTAAAAAAAATAGCTTACTGAACAGAACTGAACCTTCTTTGGACTGATATTCCTTTTATCGAGTCTGTCATTGAGTCAACTGGCTTGGTTTCGAATCCCCGGTTGTACGTGACAAGGAGTAGGGTCGCCTGTCCAACCTCGTGGGTTTTCTCCGGGTCACCCGATTTCCCCTCACTGCTAAAGACACCTAAGCGCAAGCGAATTATTGAAAGAAAATTAAACGATATGTTAGTCCCGAAATGACCTAGTTTGTGTTGAGTGGACGTTAAACCCCATTTCTCTCTCTCTCTCTCTCTCTCTCTCTCTCTCTCTCTCTCTCTCCTTTTAGCGATTTAAATTTCACAAATGGTGATTACCGGTTTGAATAATCCTTGAAGGGATAATGACAGCCATGTTGGTTTTCCCACTTGTGCTCCCGAACACGACAATTATGGTATTTCCTATTTCCTAGTGGCAAACACCATATTTCCAAACGGTAACGAATACAGCATCACTGGGCCCTTATTCACGAAAACTTAAACTAAGATACAATCGAAATTTTAAGAAATACTGCAATTCGATTGGCTGACCAGTAAAATCAATTTGCATATATCCAATGAAGTTGCAGTATTTCTTAAAATTTCGGTTGTAACTTAGTTTAAGTTTTCGTGAATAGGGGCCCTGTTGTGTTTTTACTGCGTCTCAGGTTAGATCTATTTGATAAGGTCAACTTCAAGTTTGGTCAAGGGTCACGAGATGTAAACAGGGCTAATCCCAACCCTAAACCCTGGACCTAGCCCTAGTACTTACCCTAACACTAACCTACAATCTCGTTAACAACCATGTGTCCTAACTCCTAACCTTATTTACATCTCAGCAACCTTGACGAAACTTGAGATGACCTTAACAAATATATTTAGGCTATACTATTATGAATAGGAAACGAACATTTGCGATAGTTGGAATGTCGTCTATGGCTATATATATAATTTTTTAGAGGTCTTGAGAAAAAGCTTATGCAATGCATGATCGGTGTTGCATAAACCAGTCTATTTGATTTACAAAAAGAAATTATATTCATTTTCGAGGCCAACATAAAAGGTACACCTTTATACTAACTACACGCTGCAGACCTTTATCAATTCATGGAAACAGGAGAAAACCATTGTTAATGCCATTGTTACGTACAAACTTGGGATTGACACATGACGCAATGACAGATCTTGCAGTGTTTTATCATCTAAAGCCAATCCCTAGCTCACAAAAACAGATATATTACATTAGGCCTCACGAGAGGGGGTGCAGCGGGTGCGCCGCCCCACAGCCCATAACAGTCTATGGAGCCCATGAATATCAAAGTTCAAAATGGGCAATTTTGCATGAATTTTTTATTGTGCCTTTGAGGCTTATAATATAAGTACATGTACATATATATACAAAAGTTTTCGCTTTATCGCAATCTGCTAGTGAATCATCTAGATATTACTAGTGTTGGAGGGGTGGAGGGGGGGTAGTCTCGCCCCAGCATATTTTGTTTCTCTCACGGTCCCTGCATTACATATGTCCACGCCCTTGCTATCTATATCCCAATCTTCTAATATCTCTGTAAAAGATGACTGCCTTCAACACGTGCCGTCACAGCACGCGGCGTCAATATTGGTTGAATGGCGCGTGCATTGTTTACATAAGACGTTACTGCTTCGGGCAGAATGCTGCCATTTAGTCATTTTAATATCCATTTACACTAAATAGGAAATAATTTTTACCTACAAATACGTCAAACGTCTTTATTTTTCTAATACATCAAAAAATGTTTTAGAATTTAATTTCTCGGTGGAAAAAAGTTAATATTTGAGACTCATTAAGTCCCATTGATGTCATCCTTATCAGTGATTGTAGCGGCCTAGCGAATATTCACTGCTGATCAGTATGTCTATATCCTGCCTGAGGTAGGGTGACCCACCATAAATAAATATCTCCATATATCTCGACAATTACGCCACAATATTTATATATATGCCAAGCCTCAAATCAGTTTCATACAATTATAGTCACTAAATAAACGATCATGTTGTACTTAATAAGCTATGACCATTAATCATATATAAATAATAGACTGAAAACTGGTTCCAAGAGTCGTCCATAACATCCAGACACTTTTGAGTAAAAGATAGGTTACGTGCCCGTGTTTTGAAATTAGTCTCGCTTAACCAGTCTATCGACCATTCTACGTCTGATTGACAGGTCGGGATAATCAAGACTACTTTTTTACGAAACGTAACAGAAAGCTAGAACAAGAAATTGAATTTAGAAATAAGCACGTTAGGTAGCTCAACAATCGTTTTAAGAAGCTTGTAAAAGTAAAATGAAACTACTGCTAGTATCATGTTCCTGCCTAACCCGAGTGATTCAGAGATATTATTTGTACTAAACCAAAAGATGCCGCTCTTAACGGTACAGTTAATGATAAAGCGATTTAAAAAATGAAACGAACGTAATTTCTAAATCTGCTGTAATAACCAAGAAGCTTAATTTAACTGCTATTTAAAATCGTCAACAATAAATTTTTTACGGCTGTAATAGTTGATAGATTTGTAGAGAATTGCACGTGCCATGGCTATTTATAGTATCATACTGTCAGAAAGTTGGTCTCGGCAAGGCGAATGTGCACGCTTCAGTGGTAGTCTCGAACTATCAGCGGTGGACTGTATTTCTGTGAGTACATGGGTCACCCTACCTTAGGCTATTTCGGACTCTCTCACACACGCACGCACACACACACGACACAAGTCCAATTATGTTTCTATGCTGACAAGGGAAATAATGTTGATTTCAAAAGGTATATATGGGCAATTGAAAATGACAAAATGTCGGTGGAGATTTCTGATAAAGTTTTGCAAGGTTCACACACCTTTAAGGTCGGCACAACACCCATCCTCCGTAACCACAGTAGTCTCATTCCGTTCTACTAGGACCCTCGTACTGTTAGCCAATGCACCCAGCCAGACTATCGGAGTTTCTACTCTCTCTCTCTCTCTCTCTCTCTCTCTCTCCCTTGCTCTGGTCCACACTGGTCAGCAGTGAATA